GAAATAGTTGTAGCCAATAATGGATTTCCTCGGTATATCGGTGAAGATCAGGAAACATTTGGTCGACCAAAACTGTCCTGATCTTCACCGATACACTCGGAAAGTGTGGTAATAACTATTACTTAAAGACTACGTAAGATGAAAAATCTAAATTTCATGTACGTATACCCAATGGTTACTATATCCACTTTACGGCAAGTTCACACCAATCTGATTAAAATTGAGTTGTTTTTGTTGTTTATTACAGATTTAACGTCCAATACAATGAATATGATATTATGGACAGGTTGATTTAATTAAATTATTTACACTTGAAATTTGTTCAAAAAACACAAAATAAAAAGATTCCAAAAGTTTCTTAAAGCACACTTATAAATTCGCTGTCGTGAGAAGAAAGGGCGGGTTATCTTCTCCCTTTGTTATAATAAAGTTAAAACAGGAGGTCCAGCTGATTGATGTTTGGCGTCATCAGGGCGTATAGAAAAAAAACCCGTGGGGAAAAGAATCCGCTGGCTTTATGTGGAAAAGCGAAGTGCCCGCAGTAAAAACCACATAGACTCGGGGCAGACCTAATGTAGCCGCCAACCCCGAACAGACAAACAGACAAACGACAGTCACAAATATTAGTATAGATTTTTTCGTATTTCAATTTTACGGTCTATTTCAGAGTAATGAAGTCAAATCCGCATGCAGAAAGAAAGGCGCCATACGATGATAACGGGTCGTCATTTACAAATCGAGTTTCAATCATGTTTGACTTTTATGATACACTTTGCATGACCACATCTTTTTATTCATGTACTCCTTTACTCAGGTAAATTAGAACCCTCAACGAAACGTCTCTTTAATTAAAATAGTAATTGTGTTCCATATTATGTTTTTATATCACAATACTCTTCTGACGAAAATGTACCTCGAATCGTTTGGACTGCACACGATGGTAGAGTGTATTAAAATCGCTGTCGTGAGAAAAGAGTTCTATTTTTACGACTTTGAGTGAAGATAGCTGAATTAATTTCAATCAGATTGGTGTGAACTTGCCGTAAAGTGGATATAATAACCATTGGCTACACGTATCGAAAAGTTTTCACGTCCATTCTATGTGCACTTCGACTTTGTCTCAATTAATAATGACGTGTATTACACGCTGTATAAAACCTCAGAAAAACTCTTAACGGATTATTTGTTGTTTATTATTGTTTACATTTTAAATTGTATAGATTTGGGAAAAAAGTCCCGATTTCCCGTGATTTGAGTATACGTTTACACCGAAGATGTTCAAATTGGATTGTAGGCGAAATTTGGGATAAATCTGTCGAACGGTCGCTGGGACATAAATGTTGTAACTGCTAATTGACGGACCTGGTCACGTGTGGTGAACTAGATTTATTTTATTTTCATTATTCCATAGCAACGATAATTTATTAAGTAATCGTATACGCGTACATATATAATTAGACCTAATAATTATCGTGTTATATTATTCATTTCAATTAATAACATTTTGTTAATGTTGGTGTACTACATGTCACGTATATCTCATTGCCATTATTTATAAGATCTATAAAGTGTAACACATGACACAATTATAGTAGCTTGTATTCCATATAATTGTGTCATGTGTTATTCTCATCCAGTTACTAAATGCCACTTAAACAATCTATAAAGTGTATTGTTATTCATCGTACGTTAATCAGATTGTAAGTATTTTCATTTAAGAGCGTGGTCGGGCAGACTTTTAAGTTTCACCAATGTAACTGATGACCATATTATTAGCCCCGTGAGGAGATATTGGGCATGGTCTGACTTGGGGAAAGCCCCGGAAATTTTGGTTAGATTTGTGAAATATTTACTTTGCTTCTAGAAAGTTTCAACCATGTAACTTACGGCCTAATTTTTGGCCCCATGAGGGGTACTTTAAGGTGCTGCTGTGGATATATGCCTCAGCAGGGCCCGACCAAATGATTTCTACTCATATGGACACCCACTTGCGGGGGGGGGGGGGGGTGTAGGTCAAGCCTTTTTTAACTGATGACCATATAATTTTGTCATTAGCTCCTGGACTAATAGTTGTTGTGGTCTAATTATAAACAGCAGTTTTATATTGTCTTCTGCACTGTCAATAGTCAATATGACAATGTAAAAGTGGTATGTATATGAAATCATACATTGTACCGATTTCATTCAAATCCATTCTGGACTAAGTCCATTCTAGTTACGTTCTCGTAGCTAAAAACGTTGAGATATACTGATGTGCTTGTTTTTAGCTACGATTGGGTGCCTTTATTTTTAGCTCCAAGTGGCAACCACAGTTTCTTTATTAATGCATGTAACATCTTAAAATAAGACAATTTATATTATTTTGACTAATTAACCTTACAGAGGCTAATGTAGTGGCTCAACTATCGCCTAACTCCAGATATTTGCGTTTAAATTAATGAAGCGTTGTTTTTTTCCGACATACACCGTCATACATCTCCCGTTTAAAAATGCCGTCCCTAGTAACGGCTTAACGCCTCGATTTTAAATACGTTGATTTATATCCGTTTCGGGTAGAATTATATGCTTAATTGTAGTTGGATGGGGCAGAAATATTATAAATAACAATAATCAATCGCCATTTTGATGAAAAATATTGTCAATTTTGCTTACTGAGGCCCGATGTGATTTGCGTTGGGCTTTGCTTCGTGGAACTATTTAGCACCATCTGTTATCTCGAAACACGGAGGGTTGAGAGATGAGGTTAGTTATCTAAATCCATTCATGCATAAGAATCTTATTACAAAATGTACGCTCTTACTGAATTCACCTAGCGTTGGATATCAGACCTGATGCAACTATAAAAGAGATTATGTATAGCCCTTTTGAATAGCAAAGACGAAAGAGATACAGCTTTGCAAAAACGCTCGCTTGATGTCAAATCATTATAATTGTGTAAACCTATATCATCGTGTATGTATTGAACTACTACTTAAATACACGGTCTATGTCTAACAATGTAGGGTGTAACTTGATGTGATCATGACGTCTTACTATTGCTCAATCTCTCATCCCAACGTAGTTTGCCAAGCAACGCAATATACGTACATTGGAATTATCGTGGGCCTATAATCACATTTTTTTCAAAAGTCCTTATTTGATTGTTTGTGCTAATAAAAAGACAATAAATATTAAATTTCGAATTATTAATTACGGTTAAACCAGGGTTAAGGTCGTAAAGAGAGAGAGAGGGGGGGGGGGAGAATGGGGTTTAACGTCCACAAACCGGATGACCCGGAGAAAACCCACGAGATTGGACAGGCGACCCTACTCCTTGTGCACATATTACCTGGGAATCGAAACCACGCCAGTTGACCCAATGACAGATCTTTTGATGCAGCGCGCACACGCTAACCATTCGGCCATCGGCGCCCCCCCCCCCCCACAACCATTTAATGTAATATGAGTGCATATAAAGTGATTCATAACCAATTTTAAAATTGTTTATTGTAATTTCTAATCAATTATGTTCGGTTTAAAGGGACAATAACACTCTTGCTGGCTTGACAGCTCCAGAAAATAAAAAATAGCCTTATTCTAAGTACTAGATGTGTTAGTGTCCTACCTGTTGTGTAAATTATCCATTAAATCCTATTTAACTTGCCCAGAGGGTTCAAAAATATTTTTAAAACCAAGTCACATTTGAAAAGCTTTACGTCAGGCTTTTCAAATCATTTAGTTGAATTTTTCCAATTTTTTAAATTAGGTGTGTTAAGATGAAATTTGTATCATCAATTAATTGGAATATTGTAAAATAGTACAATTTGTTGACAAGAATAAAGATTGGGACATATTATTCAGTTTCAACAAAAGTGGTATTGGGCCTTTAAATACACAGACAGTCCAGATTGAACAGCGGTCATTTGCGCCTGCTTAATCGATTCTATACACGTTATATTTTTTGTTGTTTGTGAATCAGCCATTTTAATTACTTCCGCATTGTCTTCTGTGATATGTTTTTCTTTGGTCATTACAAATTATGTCCATGGGATACACGAGTCGTGTAGTAATTTAAATATGTTCACCGTGTCTTAGTTATTGGATATTAGAATCATATATTTTCACGGTATGGTAATAACATCAATATCGATTGAAATTGACCAATACTGAATTCTAATTCGTGTTTTTAATTTCCAAAGTTATGGATAATACTGAGTTAGAGATTTAGCTTCCTGCATTAACCAATCAATAAGATAAAATAAAAATCACCTTATAGTATTGAAAACCCAAGCATCTTATAAATTGTATTTGTGGCGGATTGGCATACCCGTCCCAAATTCTATAATTATCGTAAATATACAACAAATCTAATTATAGTGATTTGAAGCGAATATCTGAACCCGAATATAATATTCAATTTCGACAGGTATATCCCCCCCTCCCCCAACCCTCCAAAAATAATAGAAATAAAATAAAATAAGAAAAAAGAAACAGAATAATTTTTATACTGTGATTTAGGGGGAGTCCCACCCGGAGCAGCCATTATAAACACATATAATAAATAATAAAGTGAAATTGTCATACTGTTATATGGGGGATGGATGGGGAGTGGCATATAAAAAGGTCATTTGGCCCAACCTGTGACAGTGCTACTAACCATGACGAGTTTCGACCCTACTTTCTTGTTAAAACCACAATCTCTAACGCGCATAACTACCTCTTCTCCGTAATTAACAAAGAGCACAGACGTGCCATGACGTCCATCCGATTGAGTACACACCCATTAGAAATTGAAGAAGGAGGGTACAGCGGCGTGGTTTCCCCTTATCAATGGTGCAGGAGGGACCATTCTTTCCAAATATCAACTTCAAATAATTATATCTGAAGAAGTGTGCGGTTTTATACACCTAGCATTTACAAGAAAAATAACCTGTCACTAGATCACTAGATATTCCCAACTGGGGGTGTGATTATTAATATATTGCCATTAAGTAATGAATACAAATTGAAATAGAACATACTTTTAGCCACAAGGCCAGTTAAGACTGCTAATATTTCCCAGATCATCTTGAGTTTGAATGCGATGTTGTAGTTAAATTCTTTGCGCTGTAAACTTCCTTATTTAAAATGTAAATGTAAATGTAAATAATACGTAACTTATCGATACATATATGCAAATACGCAAAGAACGAATATACAAGTCACAACAATAATTTAATCGTCACGCTTCAAACATTTAGCTTCACAACATAAACACCAATGAAATGCCTTTGAACACAAAGGGCTATGTATAGGCAAGCCATGACTAAAAAAATAGTCTATACCCCAGTTATTATGCTTTATTGAAATTTAGGCATTTTGCCAACTTTAAAAATTTCGCAATAGTTGTCAAATTGCAGGCTCGCATAATCTCGTAATTGGTGACGTGACTACGGTAGAGAATTTCCACTTAATATCTTGAAATTCCCACTCAGTTTCTTGAAATATTTTACAACCCAGTCGTATATTTGGTGGCAGCTGGTGACCGTAACTATATACGGAAGCTAAATAGGGCCATTTTATCTATTTATATTTTACCTAAAACGTCAACTTGAATATCTTGAAATGTGAACTAGAATAACTTGAAAGTTCAACTTGTATCTTAAAATTTAAAAGTAGTATCTTGTATGATCCAACTTAGTATCTTGAAATTTAAAGTTGCAATTTTAGGGGAAAAAATAATAGCATTTATTATTGCATAGTCGACATCATAGTAAAGGATACAAAATAGTGCCATTTTATTTATTTATTTTTTACTTAAAATATCAACTTTGGAATTATATCTTGAAATTTTAACTTGTATCTTAAAATTTAAAAGTAATATCTTGAATTATTTTCAACCTAATATCTTGAAATTTAAAGTTAAAACTTTTAGGTAAAAAAAAAATAACATTGCCTAAAACCAACATGCACATATACCTAGTTCAGCTCTAAACGTAGGTCTCATTACAATCGACCTCTACGTTCAGGGACCCTTCTATTGAATCCTTGTCGACAAGATTTGATTTCCCAGTCAATTTTACTGGGCAACTTTTTACTGCTAAACGGTCGCGTGTCAGTCCCTGTGAACGCCTGAACAATATAAATGAACATCTTAGTGAGAAAATAAGACCTTGCTTACCTCGCTAGAGTCAGTATGAGCGACACAACACGCTGTTATAAAATACGTCTCCGTCTTCTAACCGACTTGGCGGACATCATTGAAAGGGTAACGCACAGATTTAAGAACTCGTGAAAATAAGACCTTGCTCACCTCGCTAGAGTCAGTATGAGCGACACAACACGCTGTTAAAAATACGTCTCCGTCTTCTAACAGACTTGGCGGACATCATTGAAAGGGTAACGCACAAATTTAAGAACTCGGCCATATATACTATTCAAAAAAAGTAGGGGATATTTGATTTTGGGGGCATAATACTAAAATATGCAAATGACTACGAAAAAAGTCACTATAGAACCTAACAGAAGAAACATTTCCAGTTACATGTGACGCCTAAACGCACCAATAGCTACCGCATGGAATGCAGGTGATGCTTGGGATCATCATGGGGGTCCAACCCAAGATTTGCACGACTCTGACTTTGAATGTTACAGTCATTGTGGCATTGAATTCCAGGGTGGAAACATCAGTTTAATTGTTTTAGTGACCAGAAAACAAATTTTGATATGCGTCGGCTTACCCAAAATGAAAGGTTACGTGCCCTTGGCATGCTACAGATCGGCACAACACAGGCGGTTGTGGCGCGGACGATGAATGTTTCTCAGTCTGTTATAAGCAGGCTATGGTCCAGATACCGTGATACACAATCTGTACAGGACAGACCACGCTCAGGTCGACCAAGGGCGACAACTCAAGTCCAGGATCGATTTATCCGTACCTTGGCCTTGAGAAATCGTGTCATCACAGCAAATCAGATCAGCGCTCGTCTTCAAACAGACACTGGTGTGAGAGTGAGTGGCCAGACGATTCGGAATCGACTGCATAGGGGTCACCTTCGCGCCCGACGTCCTCGCGTGATCCCTTGTTTGAGAGATCATCACATTCAGGCAAGACGTCGTTGGTGTAGGGATCGTCAACACTGGGATAATCGACGCTGGAGCAATGTGATGTTTTCAGATGAGTCAAGGTTCACTGTTGATTTTTTGGACAGACGTAGGAGGGTGTGGCGTCGTCGAAACGAGCGCTTCCAAGACGTTAACGTCATCAGACATGATCGATTTGGGGGTGGTTCTGTTATGGTGTGGGGAGGCATCACTGTTGCTGGAAGAACGGCTTTACATGTTGTTGCAGGGCGTGTTACAGGCCAGTACTACCGGGACAACATCTTGGCAGTCCATGTTGTGCCGTTCGCACGACGTCATGGCCGCCGTTTCATCTTCCAGGATGACAACGCAAGATGTCACAGGGCCAGGATCGTTACAGGTTACCTCCAACAACAGAACATCACCACATTACCTTGGCCAGCACTGAGTCCCGACCTCTCCCCCATCGAGCATGTCTGGGACATGCTTGGCCAGAGGTTACGTCAACGTCAACAACGTCCTGCCAATGTCCAAGAACTTGCTGCTGCGTTGCAACAGGAATGGGACAATCTGGACCAAAATGACCTTAGACGTCTCATTAGGAGTATGCCACGTCGGATCAATGCTTGTTTGGCAAACAGAGGAGGATTTACCCGTTACTGACTTGGTTGTGATGCTGTGGTAACTTTGCTGTTTGACCCCGGGTATCATTTTACCCTTATAATGGTCAGTCTGTGCCTTACTTAGTCTAACGATCATTTGGAATAAATCGATGAATGTGAACTTCATTTCATTTTGTCATTTGTTTCTTCGTCAGTTTCATTAGGTGACTTTAATAACACTTAAAAATCAAATATCCCCTACTTTTTTTGAATAGTATAAGATGAAACGAGCGAGATTAGCAAGGTCTTATTTTCTCACTAAGATGTTCATTTATATTGTTCAGGCGTTCACAGGGATTGACACGCGGCCGTTTAGCAGTAAAAAGTTGTCCAGTAAAATTGACTGGGAAACCAAATCTGGTCGACAAGGATTCAATAAAAGAGTCCCTGAACGTAGAGGTCGAGTGTAATGAGACCTACGTTCAGAGCTGAACAAACATATACCAATCTGTTGATCGGAAGGGCTATTAGTCCATTTAGTTAACTGTATTTTGTGCTGAGTGGTGTCCAGAAAGCCTTTCGGACAATGCATTATGATATGTGTATAAAGGCCTTATATCATAGGGTCGTGCAGATGCACACATGATCTACAACCAGGGCTGGATCAAAGACGGGGAATGGGGGTGCGTGCGACTGGGCTGAAGCCAGGGGTTCCCCAAATTAGCCCTTAAAAAAGAATTTGAATCATATAAAATATTTATGTTGTATCAGATGTTTGTGCAAAATAGTCTATCTACCATTATACAAATGCATTTGTGTGAGTGTGACGGACATAGGCAATGCCCCTTTTCACTGCTAATGCAAGGGTCCAGGTGACTTTTTTAGCCATTGACCGCATGCAAGCCTAATTCAGCCCTGATCTCCACACGTAAGATAGAGACAATAAGAATAGAGCTTTGTCATTTAATGTGGACGTATATCTGCTTCCCATTCGTCAGTCAGTCTGTCCAAAATTTCTTGTGACCGCTCAAATTTTAATGGGTGATATATGCCTTAATACGTAAGTTAGTAATTTGCTTAATAGCGTCACACACTGCATACAAGAATATATATATATATATACACATATATATATATATATATATATACATTACGTAAAATATACATAAAATAACAGCAGTGTCCAGCCCATATCGACTTACGATCCATTAAAGTTAATGCTCAAGGCGCATTTATCTCTCCACTTATCACAAGATAAAACACGACTAATGTTAACAACTAATAAGCAGTCGAAAAAAGATGAGTGTTTAATTGCTTCTTAAAACAGCTAAGCGATTGTGAATTCTTTACGGTCAAGGGTAATGAATTCCATAGGTTTGGTACAGTGTATGAGAAGCATCTATGACAGAATGTCTTAAGTCTATAGTTGGGTACCACCAGACGTAGTTCATGTTGGGACCGAATTTTTCTTTGGGAGACGTAATTAATTAGCATTGAGGACAAGTAGTCTGGTGATTCACCTTTCTAGCATTTGTATGCTATGCACAGAAGTTTGAACTTAATTCTGCTTTTCACCGGAAGCCAATGTAAACCCTTTACACAATTTTAGTCGCAGTATTTTGTACAAGCTGTAATTTGTGTAAGGCTGTTGTTTATGCCAAACAGAAAACTATTGCAGTAGTCGAGTCTGGATAAAATTAAATATCGAACCAGCGCCTGCGCTGCATCTTTTGTGATCAAATTGCGGATTCGACGTATGGACTTCATATGAAAGAAGCACCTCATTGAGATCAGGTCATGACACAAGTGAAATAATCCTCAACTTTTAGATCTTTTTCAAACAACCTATACGTTCTCAATTTATTTCCATTAGTACAGTTTCTATCATCCCACAGTTTTGAAAACCACCTAGATTCTTCAGTTTTAAATATTATTTTACACAAAGATTTAAAATCAGATTTACTACCGCCCCATAAGTTAAGCTCATGCTTTACACTTTACACTTACAAGTTCTGCTAACTTTAATACCTCCCTTTCCAACGATTTTGGACGTCTTTGGGGCCATTTATGGACCTTATATTATAATTATAACTATTTCTATCACAGTTTTCGAGCTTGGTGAATAACCTGAATACTCCAATTATTTTCTTTATCCGAGAACTGACCCAACCCATAACACCATAAGAAGCTATATTTGATGCTCTCTTAGGAACGTCTAGAAACAATTTACAAGCACGTGTTCTTGCATTATCTTTCTCACTGTGTTCAACTGTACCCCATATAGATGCACCATAGAGTAATATATTGCCTCGACTAGAGATTCGTAGAGTTTATTATATACAGAGTACGTCATTCCACCCTTAGCATAATATTTTAAAGTTAAAAACCCTAAAGCGCGGGCAGCTGCATCCTCGGTATCCCCAGTGGTTTCATTCCGTTCTACTCCACTAACCCCTTGGTTATCCGCCCTTGATGATTATTTTTATCGACCAATCCCATAAATCGTTAAATGAAAAGGCAGTTGGCAAAGGGAAGTAACCCTCATCGGACAAGGTTAGGAGTTAGCCTAAATGAGAGAAGTCCAAATTATTCTAAATGCGTATTTATTAACAACAAATTGTATAATATTATAATCGTTTTCGCTACCAAAAAAACTTTGTATAGGTGAAGATCATCTCACATGTTTCTTTAAAATTATTTTATATGCAAGCACTGTCGCTTCGTGTGAACATGCACTGTTTCTTGACAAGCAAAATATTAAATTACAATGTGACTTTAGATTTCAACAAAATAACCATAAAACTTTTTTAAGCAATTATCCTCTACGTCAATTTTAGTGTACAATATCCATGCTCTAGCTTTTATATGTAATGATAAGCAAAAGATCGTCAAGGGTGTAATTTTTGTATTATGTCCATTCCTTGTAGACGTAGTAGATCTACCCAAGAATTACAATAATAATTACTGAAAGCTTGGGAGAATGTGTCAATAAGTTGGATACCATTTCTAAGTTGCATCCAATTAATCTCGCATTATTACAACATTTCTTTAGCGATCCAGATTTAATGGCTATTGCAGGCAGTACCACATATCCGAAGCTATTTAATATACCACAATTTAAGTTATAATTCCATGCAATGTATAATGTGATAGCTAATGATAAATCAAGCCATTTAAGTTTGGAATGCATGGTCAAAAGCGCCAAAAAATGAAGAAGTAATATGTAAGTCTTTGTCAGAAACTATACTCTTCAAAAAAAGTAGGGGATATTGAAATGCAAATACCTATATTATGCAAGTTGTGATATGATAGGTAGTCATGGACACTTGACATGCTTTGAGAGTATGTTCACAGATGAAGAACTTATCGGCCCAACAGAACCACTTAGCTGCACATTCGACACGCAATAGCGCCATACACGTTGGAGGGGTTCATTGTCAAATTTGACACTTCACGGAAGGGTTGATGAAAACTGCCGCGTGCTGGTTTATCCTATCCATGTTTGCTTTCCTGTCGGTTCTTGCATAAGATTTACTGTTTAGCGTATCTTTGCTTTAGTTTGTTACGTTTAATTGGACCGGGAGACGTCTTCGTCGACGTCAACGTCAACCGACAACACTGCAAGTAATTGGCCGTGGCACCGCGAGAGGAGTGGGTCAGATTGCCCAAAATCGTGATTGTACGGTTTAGTTGATTAGGAGCATGCCACGACGAATTGCTGAATGTCTGAGGATCGGTGGAGCAATTACTCATTATTAAGACAAAAATCAAAAACGTCCGTTTTCACTTTTGACGGTGTATCTCTTTGCGAGTGAAATGGGGCCGTCAGATAAGCCGCCAATATGAACTGTTTATGTTCATGTGTAGGCAATTGGCCTGTTATTAATATACACTGGTTACCTCTAATAAAAACAACAGTGCATTTTCGCAGTTTTGTATTGTTTCTGAATATCCCCTACTTTTTTTGAAGAGTATATTTTCATATTTACGCCACCCATAATTGATTATATTTGTTTATTTACACCACCCACAACTGTTTATATATTCGCACTTTTATTTTATATATTTTGATATTGACTTGAATAAATTATACTTTTAACTACATTCAAAGGGTGCGGAAACGCACGTTTATAATACCATTTTTATTTTTTTATTTTAAGGTTGAATCACAATCTAATTAAAACTTGAGATTAGTTTGCTATTTAATTTTAAGGTTGAATTATAGTCTATAATTAAAACTTGATATCATTTCTATTTTTTATTTTAAGGTGGAATTGTAATCTAATTAAAACTTGACATTATTGTTTATCTTAAGGTTGAATTATAACTATAATTTGAATTTGATATTAATCTCAAGGTTAAATTTCAATATATTTAAAACTTTGATGGTATTTTTTAAGTTAATTTATAATGTAACTTGATGTATTTTTTAACAGTTTAATGAATTATAATTTTATTAAAGCTTGATATTATATTAGGGTTAAATTACATTGTAATAAAAACCGAATGGTAATTATTTAAACTGGATATTATTTTTAAGGTTAAATTATAAACTAATTATTTTTATGGATCAATTACATTGTAATTTAAAATAGATATTAATTTATTATAAAGTATAAAAATAAACTAATTAAAATGTGATGTTTCTTTTCATTTTTTATTGGGTGGACATACCCAATATTGACTTCAGCTGATCCCTGCTTTGTTTCATGGTTCTCCGACGTTTGGATTTTGTGCATTTGTAGTGAATTCTTTCATGAAATTATCCACAGATGCTTGTTATCTCAATTTTGTCAAATGTTATGTACATTTGTTAAAAGTTGTTGCAGTAAATAAACTTTGAATTTGGCATTGCGTTTTTAATGGCTTTGAGTGTATATCTTTGGACTAAAAAAAATAAAACCGAATTAATTAGATTGGGTTAAATTAAAGATTGATGAAAAAGCTCTTATATAATGTAATTATGGGTCGAATTGTGAACCCTGGAGGGAGGGTGGTGACCAATGGTCTAAGGGGTGCACTATAGATTATAATAACTGTTACTTATCCAAGCACATTATTGAAATAAAAATATACCCTATGGTAGTCCTAAAATGACCTGGAGTCTCAAGTGGATTTTAAACCCAATTTCTCTCAGAACCTTCTTAGCAAGAGAATGAAATGGACAATACAGTTATGCTTGTATCCTTGTAAGTCTCAAGTAAATAATTCAATTTTTTATTTTCTAATAATCGTTATGTGTGGTTTTCACTCAGGACTAATTTTGAAGTATTTCATGTATAATACTAACAACAACTTAAATAATATACAAATAATTTTGTCTTGGGTAGTGAGACAGATGTTCCCATAATATCGATGTCAAATAATAATTCATACAGTATATATCTACAAAAGGAAGGATTCCTTACAATTTACATATCTTAAGGGGGAAAAACAGGTTACATTAAAAAGCACTATATTTTTTACAGGAAAAGAAATCAAAAATACATGTTAAAATTCTGAAATGATTTTCTGTACATTTTTGTTAATATAAATATGCATTGTAACAGAGCCAGTAGGCAAATACAGTTTGAACATAATTTATATAGATTTATAAACCAATATATTATTCGATTTCCAGTAGTTACTAAAAAAACAAGAAATGCAATAATGGGGTTTAACCTCCTACTGTTCTGTAACTAAAAACAGGTAACAAAAAAAAAAACCCAACAAAGAACAAATTTTATATCACAGTAAATGTCAATAAAAAGAATTATATTATATTTCATAAAATAGATATTGATTTAACAGTTAAAGATGCATTATGTAAGATTTAGATAAAGAGCTGTCCGTTTTTGCTATAATAATTATAGATAATGAAAAACGAATATCCATATAAATTACTGATTGAAGTTATGAGTGTTGGAAGATGTCGCATAGATTGTTTATTAGTGCATCAAAGGTACTGGGCAAATGAGACTAAGTCTCGATTATCCACTTTATCGTTTAATTTTTAAATCTTGCAGGCATTCTAATCAATTTAAAGCTCTGCCATCCGATGATCTAGATTGTTAATTATGGGCTTGTCATGTTAATAAATAAATATGTTAATAATAGTTTATATAACATTTGAAGCCAAAATAAAAACCTTCAATAGGCTCATTTAGCATTTACATAATGCATCTTTAATGTACAGTTTAAAAAGTGTTTCTATACATTTATATTAAACATTTTTAGGTCACATGTACATCTATATTTTACATGCACGTGTGACCTGAAAATTGTTAAAAGTACTTTTATGTCCAAAAAATGCTGTTAAAAGTTGGTTTGATATTTAATCAAATGGCAAACATTTGTTCAATGATGTAGATTAGCAGGAAAATTTAAAATCATAATTCCTATTTGTGTGTGTATCTAATAGATTAAATTTTTCTTTCATAGTTATAATATTCAATATCTTTTATCACGTTTGCCTTTGGCTGAGTTTCTTCCACATCTACAATAATTGTATTCAATTAAACAATTTTTTTACTTAATCCTTCATTTGTAAAATAATCGTCATCAGTCATGGCATTCGGTGTTAAAACATTTCGTGGCCGTTATGATTGTGTGGTGGGTATTTAAATGCAAATTTTTTTATCCATACAGTTCCCTAGCGAAAGGGCTATAATCTATGTTATATGTTGGTTTTCGGTGTCGTATAATCAATCCATCATAATGTTCATACACTCTGTTACCTAACATCGGAAATCTTTCCGCTAATAAGTGTTCTTCTAGAGGTGTTGGTAATGGGTATAATAACTTCTCTTTAGGTTTTGACAACAGGATGTAACGACTAAAAAAATAAAATATATACAGATTCATCTATGATGGTAAAACAAGCCAACAGTGAGGCTTATGTCCCCTGCCAGATTGAAAAAGTAATAAGATGACACACATTATTTAAATTGCATATTTATCTTTTCATAAAGCTTGATGTAATGAAACTGTACCCCAAGTTTCATCACTCTCACTTAATTAGAAACAAAGTTTTCGTGTTCCAAAGCTTCGACCAATCAAATTGCTTATCTCTGCTTAGCCTAAGCAGAAAATGCTTATCTCTGCTTAGCCTAAGCAGAAAATGCTCATCTCTGCTTAGCCTAAGCAGAAAATGCTCATCGTCGAACTCAGTCAAGGAATTCACCTACTAAACACCTATGTCCAAGTTTGAAAATTGGTGCTTGTGTCCTAACTAGTGTGACGGATGGACGCATTATAATAGGCTAGTCTTTCTACACATTTTCACATTGGGAAGGTTTAATAGCTTGGTTTCAGTTACAGGGATGAATACAGGAATTTTTTAAAGGAGTGGATTTTTCTGAGAAAAAAGGCCATGGCAATGTCAACTAAAAAGTGCAATTTGCTACATTAAAATAATTTGTAAGATATTTCTGTTTCATATTTTCAGTGCAATATTTCAAACAAAGAGATGTAGGAAAAGAAGGACTCTTTCACACTTTATAAAAACATAGTACGAAAATTGCATACTTTGTGTGTTATAACAGGTCAAGCAAAGCTAGTATATAAAAGACAATTAAACTTGTTTGAAACTTAATCGATAGTTATATGTATAAATGACCAGCCAAACAGAGTGTGGTTAAAAAGTTTTCTTAGAGTAATAGTTACATTTTAATCTTCAAAATAATTGGCTCAACCCATGTTCTTTTTAATTTTAAGCCATATTCACATTCTGTGTCTGTTTAAGTGTTTCTTCTTCTCAGTTTGTTTTTAAAAGAAATAAAACTAACCTGCATTTACTAGGAATAGATTTACTGGATTTTGGTCGAACTGCTTGAGGATTTCGGGGATCAATCTGTTTGGTATCAAAACCAACACGACTTCTACTTGACATATTTTTGTGTACTTGGGAAGTCTTACCAAAATTAAACCTATTAATAAATAAATGTAGTGTATTTCCTCAGTAATAATGTTGTTAACCTAAAAAATATAACTAATTTGCAGCAGTCCAACATTTTGCTTCACATCTAGTTGGCTTCTCAGATATGTGTATGTTTAGTTACAAGACAATTTGATCAACAACAACAAAGTTCTCCATAAAATTGTGTTCTGTAATATGATGGTCATCTACTATATCATGATTCAAAAATAAAACAAGCGGTTACCATGCAAGATACGCCTACATTTTGCAAGAGATGGATAGAGAACAAGCTAAAGAAAATAAAATGTGATTTTTCGTACAATCAGTACAATAGTCTACAAAATTATGGTCTGATATGTCGGCAGGTGCTGTCAAAGGCTTAGCATAGTTAAAGAGTTAATGAGATTGAAACCAACTAATTATAGCTGCATTATGAAACATTAGATAAACAGCTGACAGTTTTCACTATAATAGTTAAAAGAAATAGATAATGTAAAGGGAATCCATAACTCTTGCATAACGCCTGTATAAATAATACCTTATACCTGTAGGGTGTGGTCGTGCAATCGTCAGGTAAATTATCATCACCGACTCCACTCTCTGGAGAATTATCATATCTAGATAAAGCCTGTAGAATCTTCTCTGTTCTTTCATCTAATCTAATTGCAGCTCTTTGTGAAGATGGCTGTTTATCTTGACTGTGAACTACTGTATGTGGACGTGTTTTATCTCCTGACTCAGAAACTATGTGTTGGAATGATGAGCAGGATCTTGATTTCATTTCTGAATTATGTTGAGGTAAGCGATTGTGGGGTGTTGGTCTTTGTTGATTCTGTGCTTCATTTATGATTTGTGATCCATAGTGGCTGGCGGTTTCATAACCACTTCGGCTTGAAGTGTCCCCCCTCTTTTCGCGGTATAGTTTGGCAGTTTTCGGTCTTTGCCTATCAGCTTTAAAGTGACTGTGTTCATGCTTTGAGGAGTAAGGAGGAATAGCTTGATTCTGGTTCACTGGTAAAGCTGTATCTGGTCGACTGTTAGCTGGTGTAGATTGAGGAGGATTGGGTGTTTCTCTTATACTACTGGCTGTTTTGTGATGACGTCGAGGTGGATGTGGGAGGTATTTCACTGATGGCGGTGCATGCTCTTGGTATTCTGTAAAAGAGTTTAAGGAATACTATATATTTTATGAACCAATGATTTTAAGACTGAATAATTAACAAAGTCTTCTTTAACAGTCAATGTTTCTGATCGTCTTGCACCCTGAAATATACTCAAATTGATTATCTAAAATACAATTAAGAAAACAAAACCAAGATATCAATGGTAAATCATCATCTTGAATTAAATTGGATTGAAAAAAAAAAGGAATCATTAAAAGCTTTTACCCAACACTAACAAGTGGCACCAACTTATTTATATGGGCTGCAGAAGATTCTGAATGTTCATTTCATAATATCTTGTTTAATACTGAACAGAATTGAAGCATTTTTGGACTGAAATTTCTTTCAGAGATTCCACTTTCTCAATATTGTAGTTTACAAGGGATTCAAAATATGATGATCAGGGAAATAAAGTCAAACAGTGTACAGTGGGATCTCACAAGATCATATCTTGCTATTGTTCCAGTGGTCACTTACTGATTTACATTTTCATGATCAGACCAGGCTCCAAAAGATTAGCAATTAGCTAAACTATACTTAATCCCTAGGATATCAGTTAGCAATGATATACTAGTAGATATACTTCAGTCATTCAGTGTTACGGTCTAACTCAATACCTGCTTTGGCTGAAATGTTAGGCATACAAAATATACAATGTAGTACTCAAAAAACCTGATTATGTAGACCTAATAATATAAGAATAATATATAAATAAGAAATATATATAAATAAATACTACACCAAATCAAACATTTATAAAGAAACAGCTCTCAAAAGACCCGAATAAGTAGACATAATAATATAAGAAAATTTATAATAAGAAATTCAAATACTACACCAAGTCAAAGATATATAAAGAAACAGCTCTTTTGCAGAATTTTTTCATACGAAAACAGGGAAACAAAAAGATAGGTAATTGATGTTCCATGCCAAAGAAAGCAAGCCAAATTAGGTACCTAGTCAAACCGTAACACAGATATCAGTATGGCTTCAAAGATTTTTGAAGCTCATCTGCCTGCTATAACATAAGAGAACCTTAAAATCAGCATTTAATGAAATCCCAAGATCAGCATTTAATGAAGTCCAAAGATTAGCATTTAATGGGTATTCTTCTTTTTCTTACCTAAACAATCTTCATCATAATCTAATAAACCAAGTATATATTTATTTTTATTTCTTTGTTCTTCTTCCATCTGTTTACGTTTCATGGCAGCATGGTGAGCTCGTAGTTCTTTTTGCATTCGTAATAACATGTGCCTGTCACAAAGTAAAGAATTTATACAGATAATTCTTGGAAGAAGGGAAGTGTGTGAGCCTGAGAACCTATGCTTTGAATTCTGAGATAAAAAGATAATTTAAATGTTTACATGCACTAAATTTTACCTTTCTATGACCCTTTCATGCCAATTATCATCAAAACTTTTATCATCATTCTTGTGTAGATTGTATGGTGTAACAGGTTTACTGAAATTAAAATTCATGTGATAATAATCCAAGTGCAGAGAATTATATGTAGTATAAACATGATTTGATGAACAGTAACTGTACCAGGTAGCTACACATTCACAGAACCCCAACTCCATTCACAGAACCCCAACTCTGCCAACATATAACATATGTTATTGTATCGACTTATATCCCACATCTGCTATCATGGGTTCATTGCACAGACTTGCTGAATTCCACCACTTCCACCATGTTACACATCATAGTAATTGAATAGATTTACAGAATCCACCCACTGTCACCATGTTGCATGTGGTTATTGCATAGATTCACACATAGATTAACCACAAAATCACACCTCTGGCTCTGCCACCAAGTAACATTTGGTCATTGCATAAATTCATAAAACCACACCTCTGCATGGAGCATGTGTTCCTTGCATAAGGCTTGCTGAATCCCACTCCACCCCTGCCATGGTCCTTGCATAAACTTGCAGAATGCACCTCTACCATCACATACAACATGCGCACATTGTACCTTACCATTTATTTGCACATAAGGGTCAAGGGTTATGAGATATTAAATTAAATATTACTGGTATTACATTACCTGCTTAAACGCTGATATCGATGATAAGCTTCATTAAAAGCCACATGCAGATCCTGTTAAATATATAAGTATAAATTTACTTATATATAGGTATACAAAGAAATTCAACAAAAATATATTTCTCAATACACTGAGTAGTTAGATTATTTCAATGTGAGCCCATAACTGTGCCTCGAAAATGTGGACTTTCATTTTGGATATGATGGCACCAGATCGAAAACACCTCATTGATGAGTCCGTCTAGATTGACAGACCAAACAAAAAAAGATCATGTAGAAATATTCTGTCCAAAAAGTATTATGTAATTCTGTAATTGTCAGAATGAAACCAAAGTTTTTGACAAGGTACAAAGTTTATGTTTGTGCTTACTAATTTCTCTTTTATTTTTATCGTTTGATTAATTGTATTATATGACATCATACACAACTAAAGTAAAGACAATATCATTACCTATTTAATAATTTTCATCAATAATTTATTCATACATGATGTTCACAAATGGTAGAATGTTATTATTGTTAGGGATTAAAGTATATGACATCACAACAAAAGCATGCTGTTAACTCCATTGCAAAAAATTGCAAATCTTTAATAATTTATTTTAAAATGTTGCAACAGCATCTATAAGTAAAATGCCCACCATGATAATTTGCCAATTTGCAAATAAAAATTACTTTGGAGATATCTTATGGTAGACATTTATTATTAGTACAATGCTTTTGTCATTATCTCACACAATGCAAGTTAATGGGAAAGGGTAGGTATCCATGAATCACATTTTAAATTTATAATGGAGGTAATTAATCTCTAGGACCAGGCCAAGAAGGAATGGTAGAAAAGGGGATTTATCATCCATTAAACACAACAAAGATTCTGTTTCACAAAGCAGATGTAAGACTTTTTGTACTATGTAAATCAATGTAGGTGTGCATAAGCTTTGTGAAACGGGTCCCTGAATGTGACTGATTTAAGCTGAGATAAAACTGGACAAAACTCAAAAGGTGGAAAATGGTGATACTACTAGTACTTGTCACATGTCATGATATCATGAGGTAGAAACTGCAACCAATATGGCATATACCAGAAGCAATGGTATCACGCTCATTAACCATAGCAAATATGTGGGGATTTTAGTTTTTCAGTGATTTTATATGGTCAGTAACAGACTAAACCTGTGATTGTTAGACAGCACTATGATGGTCATAAAATAAGCTCTTCAGATACCCATAGCTAACTTCAGTACATTTAACTTTACAATGAATTCACTATAATATTATTGTGGAGGTCAACCTATATAGTGAGACCCGGCTTCACCCGGGGCCAAAATTTGCCCTGGCTCTAATTTGCCCGGGGTCCATATTCGATGGCCTACAACATTCACCATTCACGGGGTCATGCTGGTTGATTTGATACCACATGTGGGGCTGGAGCGTGGTGAAGAAACATGATGGGCAAACATACATAAACACTTTGATTTTATTTATATAGATTAGACAGAAGTTTGGACAGCCTTTTTGACCCCCACCTCACAGTGAAATCCACCTGCGAAAAATTACCTACAGTTTATTTTATTGGTCAATTAATAATGCACCATCAAAAATGAAACAGAACAAAACTTGATTTCCGATTATAATCAGATAGAGAGCAGTTCAGGCAATTCAGTTTACTGGTAGTTATGTTACCCTTTTAGATTTTATCAGTTTTTACCTATTAAATATAACCTTTTTATGGAAGACCATTGATTATGCACAGAATGCCAGTTATCTTAAAATGCTGTTGTACCCTATCCATATCATACTTTTAGTCATATATAATTTATAAGCTTTTAGGTTATTAATATCAACCATAGAAAATTAGAAATGGATTAATTAATTCAAATCAAACAATGAGTTCAGGTCACTTGAATATATTTGAAACTTACTCTTCTAGTTCGTGGTAATCTACTTATCAGATCAAGCTATATATATAGAGAGCAAAACATCAAATATCAGACAATTTAACTGGTACATATAATCCTCTTAAGTCTTAATCTGATCAACAACAAAAAATGTTACAAAAGCCGCTCTGATCATGTTCAAGGTGTTTGCTTTTGAAGTAATTGCTGCTTTCAAATATTCTATAAATATTCAATGATTGAACTAAAAAATTATCGCTAATATATTTTCTATTGTTGCAAATCTAGCTATCTTAAAAAAAACAGTAAAGATATTACTGTACATATAATCAGCTAGAAGCTCTAGTTGATTGAATTAAAAAATAAAGAATATTTCTTCTACCTCTTTCTCTCTATGTTGTCTTATTTCTGAAGCTGATACAGGTCTGGTTTTATGTTTAAAACGAGCTGAAAAATTTGAAAAACAAAATGGGATTAACATCCTTTTCTGCACTAACAGGAATAATTGAAGTCTAAATATCATGCCAACATATACATACACAGGACAAGACTGACAAGCAGACCATCCATACTACACCACTGAAAAGGAGAAGCCAGACTAGAATCTCTTGCCAATAACGAGATCAAACCCGAGACCTCCTAATTTGTGAACCGGTGCAGTTCTTATATGGAGCCATCATGAATGACATACTTTGTGTTTTAAAATATTCTAAAATGCAACAACAATAATTCATAAACTCTACCATTATGTATTCTTGTTTCCACAAATGATGACAGAGGCCGTCTTTTCTTCCATATTCCCTCATCCTTATCATCAATATCTACATTCAATCCTTCTTGATCATCTTCATCTCCACGTTTGTGTATGGCAGCAGAAGCAGAGGTGTACTCACTTTCAACCCATCCAGAGTCAGGACTTCCAGTAACTGTTTTAATATTTTAAAAGAAATGTATATGTTTTAATAGAAAATGCAGTAAAACTGTGCAACAAAACAAAGACAAAATAACACGACACAGACAACACCAAATCTCAATTTTAAAGTACAATGTATATCCAAAATAGATACATAAAGTTACAACAATTAATACAATTCAACTAATGAAAGAATATAACCATGACTTAAAATACATGAACATAAAACACTTTCTCTTCATTCTTGTAAGCACCTATACGTTCTGTACAAATGCAATTAAGTTTTACGGTGCTAAACCTCTTTGATTAAGGACAAGATAGAGTACTGAATTGGGTTGGCCATACATGAAGCTTCTGAGAAATGGACACGTTACCCATTCATCCTACTGGAGCTTCTGAGGAACGGAAACAAGTGTCCATCCATTCTATTGGAGCTTGAGGAATGGATACAATACACATCCGTCCAACTTGAAGCTTCTGAGAAATGGACGCATTACCCATCCATCCTATTGGAGCTTCTGAAAAATGGAAACATTGCCTATCCATCTTACTGGGGCTTCTGAGAAATGGATACATTGACAGTCCATCCTATTGGAGTTTCTGAAAAATGGACACATTACCTATCCACCCTATTGGAGCTTTTGAGAAATGGACACATAGCCCACCCATCCATCATACTGGAGCTTCTGAGAAATGGATACATTGCCCACTTTTTCAACTTAGAAGCTTTCAAGAATTGGAAACATTACCCATCCATCCTATTGGGGCTTCTGAGAAATGGAAACACTGCCAATCCATTATACTTGAGCTTCTAAGAAATGAATACATTACCCATCCATCCAACTTGAAGCTTCTGAGATATGGACACACTGCCAATCCATCCATCCAACTTGAAGCTTTTGAGAAATGGATACATTGCAGATCCATACAACTTGAAGCTTCTGAGAAATGGACATATTGCCCATCCATCCTACTTGAGCTTCTGAGAAATGGATACCTTGCCCATCCATCCTACATGAAGCTTTTGAGAAATGGACACACTGATCTAGCACAGCTTTTGAGAAATGGATACATTGCCCATCCATCCTACTTAAGCTTCTGAGAAATGGATACATTACCCATCCATGCATCGAAAATAAAGTATTAAAATGTGCTGATAAACTGGGTTATTCCAATTAGTGATAACACTAACTCTATACAATTAAATTTTTCATTTCTGTAGAGAAAGTATTGAATTGTGTTAATCAGATACGTCATTTCAACTAGTAATGAACTGGTTAGTTAAAATTTTATTTTACTTGTTGGCTTATGGTATCATACCACAGTTTTATCTACTGACTTCAAATTTTCAATGAGGACAGATTATCATCCCAGATTAAACATACAGTACCCAAATAAATTGACAATTTTGTTACCAAAATTAAAGAGGTCATGTCATTTTAAACACAAATTATATATCTATGGTGTTTGTTTTTAATAATTAGTAAAACACAAAAATCAATTGTATTATTAATTTTATCTTCACCAAAAGTGATTATAATGTTATTAATGCACAGAAATTTGAAATTAAGATAAATCAACTCAAAGAACCAAAATACAGATACAAACCACCCTTTGTCAATTCCCACTACCATGATGAGTGAAAGCGAAATAAGTGCATGTAAGAAACCTGAACTGTACTGGTAAAAAAATGTGCAAGTAATGAGGTATTGTTATAGAATTTGCAATTGTTTGGATTTAATGAGAAGTATAATAATGGATGTCATGTTCATAAAGATGGATATGTTATATGATTATAATAATGTATGTTGATAATGATGGATTTTATGTTAATTATGATGTATATCATGGTGATAATGATGGATGTTATGTTAATTATGATGATGTCATATTTATAATGATGGATCTCATGTTGATAATGATGGATGACATGTTGATAGATGCCATGGTGATACTGATGGATGTCATGGTGATACTGATGGATGTCATGGTGATAATGGTGGACATCATGGTGATAATGACGGATGCCATGTTGATGAAGATGGGTGTCATGTTGGTAAAGATGGGTGTCATGTTGATAAAGATGAAATGTTGATAAATATGGATAAAGACAGAAGACATAGAGATGGTTGTCGTGTTTATAAATAGACGTCATGTTGATAAATAAGAATAAACACGTGGAAAACTATCTACAGAAAAAAATCATGTCCATATCAAAAAAAATGGTAACCATCTTGCTAATAATGTTGGCCAAGTTGATGTTGAAAATGATGATTGTCATGTATTTAATAATGGTGGTTGTCTTCATGTTAATTCAGGTGCTTGGGTGCATAACAAAATATCTGTGGCTGTTAGCATATAAGATAAAGCTACCCAGTTATTATATTAATGAAAGCAAATATGCCATGAAAAATAGATTACATATTACTACTATTAAAAGTATTAGACCAATCACCAATGCCTTTAGAAGATCTGAAATGATTAAAGCTATATAAAGGTAGAAGTCTACAGAATTGTAACTTTAAAATGCATATGCTACATGTAAGATCAAATAAAGTTGATGTAAGCAATGATAGACCTACAATTCAAGTAAAAATTGAAAGCAAAGCTCTATAAAGGAATATTTTATGAAGCAGAAACCACATCTAACAAAAGCTCTGGGATTTGATGGCAAAACATTACATGCAGAATGTGTGTCTTCTAAATCTGTCTGCTCAAAATCATCTTCAGAATCATGAGAATCAAATTCTGACTGAAACGGTGAACTTGCCATGATTGAGTGTAGTCTAGAATTAGATTCTGGATCATCATATTCATATACTCCACTTGTCGATGATGTTACTGGCCTGGGATACTTGACCATGTCATATTCTATTTTGAATGGGTTTATAATTTAATTGTATAAAATAAAATAAATGAAAACATCTATCTAACATACAATATGTATACTTAAAGTCTATATTTTTAAAGGAACCGTCCCAGACAGGTAATCTGGCTATCACTCAATATACATTTTTTGTATAAATAAACACAGTGGTATTAAGTATTGTCATTAGATATGATATCTGGGACTGCCCCTTTAAAATACTACACAAACATGAAGCCAAGCATATATATGAATCCTGTATATGGTAATTTCAGGACATACTAATGTCACAGACACAAGCCACAATGCTCCAGAAGACCAGAGACCATTTTCCCTTATCAATATTCAAAAATAGATTGCCAGGCAATGAAACATACGCCCGCAGCAGCCAAGTCATCTGAGCAGTTCAGAAAGATTATTGAATCCTTGTAGGTGATGGCAGCATTCACAAGACACTAATAAGTAATAACCCATGAAATAATTATCAGAAATAGTTAAACTGGATTGGCTTCTAGTTCTTCCTATTGCCAAGTTTATTATATAATAAATCAGATGATAACTTTAGTTGTTACGAATTATCAATCGGCTTCGTCATTTCATGAACATAAGTTTCAAATTTGGGCATTAACAAAAATAATGGGAGAAAAGAGTCTTTTAGATATTAATTCAGATGATTAAAAAAAAAAAATCTAGATTCTCAAGCTTGATGTTCATGGAAAGAAATAATTCATTCTTCAGTCAGTCTGAGGCAATAAAAATGGCTATGTAAATTTTAGACGGCCATAATTTACCTTTATCGTGAGTGATTTGACGATCTATTTTTGCCTTTTACTTTGGAATATTGTGTCTTTAACTAACCCTATATGCCAAGCCTAATTTCAGTTTTAATTAAATAAAAGCATAAATTTAATCTAACCATGCTTGTTGCAATCTATTAGTATTACCTATATATTTACAGGTATATATTTTGGGATTTGTCAAATAATTTAAATATAACCCCCAAAATATTGCTAATGCAATGGCTACAAATGAAAAACATTTTGATATATCTAAATAAATAGCATCTGTAAGCTTACTATATTCCATTTGTGTAAATATACTAGTATCTGAGAAATTAATGACTTTCTTACCGTTTATCTGAATTAAATCGCCTGGTCTAAACTCCTGAAAAAAACCCAAGTGATCAGATTTAGAAATTAATATTTTAATCTGATTTAATCCAAGCCAGGATATTTTCTGAGAAATGCATATCATGCAGTTACTTGAAGCCCACTCATTTGATCCATAAACCAGGAGTATTGCTACATTCAATGAAATTGTCATTAAATCTTTAAACAATATATATAATGTTGATCGAATGAGATACTGTTGGATCAAATCCTGGTAATCACACTTTAAAAATGGAGGGGTTGAATGGCTGAATGGTTAGCGTGCGCTCGCTGTATCATAAAGTCTGTCATCGAGTTGACTGGCATGGTTTCGAATACCCGGTTGTACATGACAAGGAGTAGGGTCACCTGTCCAACCTTGTTGGTTTTCTCCGGGTCCTCCGGTTTCCTCCCACTGCTAAAGACCCCTACGCGCAAGCGAATTCTTGAAATAAAATTAAACCATATGTTAGTCCCGAAATGACCTAGTTTGTGTCGAATGGACGTTAAACCTCATTTCTCTCTCTCTCTCTTAAAAAAAGTGAAAAATAACTGGTTAGTTGGAAGACACAAGTACAATAAAATTCAGCAGTTCTGTGAATGCCTTAATGACAAGTGACATCAGGTGCTCTAGAAAGTGTTAAATATCTTGTCTAGTGTCTGTCAATATTTTGGACTAAAGTATTTTTTGATTGAGGTAAAGTTATTACATTTTTATATTGAAGTATGGTGTCATCACCAACAATTTAGGACAGAATTTTGTAAATATACATAAGTATTCTCATATTTATATAAGCACGTATACTGAAGTATGATGTCATCCCCAAAAATATACGATTCAAAAAATACTGAATTTTGACAGAATACTTTCAATGTTGGACACAGTTGCTGACATCTTGTGTATATAATGGCTGTATAAAAACAAAATGAACAATTAATTTACCTGTTCATCCCCCTCACTGAAAGGACCTGGTGATGCCATCATTATAGGTGGTATAAAATCATCCCCTTCACTATATTCACTATATATACTCCTGGTACCATCGCTTGTAACGCTTACTTTCTTCTTACTTAAATCATTGTTCTCATCCTGTTGATCAATTTCCGTAGTTGGGGAAACGCCTATTCCTGGTTTTTGGAGGTCATAGAATTCAATCATTGTTTTTTTATTTGGATTGGATATCTTCCTGGCAAGTGGTTCCTTTTCTGGCAATTCTGGAACTTGTGGTAAATCTGGAATAGAAATTGGGTCAACATGGGGATATGTCAGTGGTGGTTTTGTATCGGGATATGTGTCGTCATCATCGTCTATAATATCCTGTTCGGTTGTAACCTGTGTTTTTACTTCTGTAGTTTCTTCCTCTGGCTCGGGACTCTACAACAAAAAACAAGTAAAATGATTAAGTGAAGATCAACGACTCCAATGCAGTTCAAATTTTTTGTTAAAGTTACAAAAGTGTGTTACTCTGGCATTAACAGGAAAAATAAAAAAAATTGTAGATTTCGTTTTTCCTATACAATTATCTGAAACACAGTGATATTCTCCTGAGGAAATTCAAAATTTCAGTTTCCATAAACTGTCTGGATAATCCTGTCTACTATATATACTTTCAAATGTTACAGGAGTAATTCATCATGATGATTATCACGCTACTTATAAAATTAAATAAAGAAATTCCTTAAATGAGTTACATGACCCTGTTAAGTAAAAATGTTACAGGAGTAATTCATCATGATGATTATCACGCTACTTATAAAATTAAATAAAGAAATTCCTTAAACGAGTTACATGACCCTGTTAAGTAAAAATGACAAATAGAGTTAAACTTACATGTTCTCTAATATCTTGTATTTGTACAGGTGTCTGTGGAATGGGTTTATTTGGTAACTTTTGGCCTTGTTTTGGTCTACGTCTTTTATAAACTTTCTTCTTCTGTATATCTCTATGCTTCCTTACAACACTCTACCATAGACATAAAATATCAAATAAACTGTAGCCATGTTTATTTTTCAAGGAATACAGATGAAATGAACTTTTTGTTAATCCCTTGTTAATTATTCAATTTTACTAATTACATCTATTAATAAATTATATGGTAATAAAACAATAAGTAGTTTATATGTAGTGGTTATAAATAGGTGATCAATGGGGTTTAACTGTATTAGATTTACAGATCAGTACAGATTATATTACTTGAGACTAGCTCAAGATCTCTGTGCTGTCTTCTAACTCATGGCTCCTTTCAACTACATGCTGAGGGAAGACAGAGATATAAAAAGGTTTTTTCCTTCCTTTGTTGTCTACTGTCAACACATTTGACCAGTTCTCCTTCAAGACCTAACAAGCACCATTCATGACTAAAATGAATGCCATTTATACATCCCTTCATAACTAAATGAATACTCATTCATAATTACCAAATGAAATTCCTTCATGGCCACAGAAAGAGAAAGAGAGATGGTGTTTAACGTCCACATCACACTAAAATGAGGTCATTATGGAACTAACATTATAAGGTACATCTTTATTTCAATAATTCGCTTGCTGTTAGGTATCTTCAAAAGTTAAGGAAACCAGAGTACCCACAGGAAACCTTAAGGTAGGTGAGGTTACTCCTTATGATATACATACATAACCGGATACCCATGCACAAGATGTCTCAGAAGTCCTCAAAAAATAAATCCTTTTTGCGACCTATTGTCAAACAAAATTTAAACAAGCAGTTGCCATGCAAAATACGTCCGCATTCTGCATAAGATGGTCAGAGAACAAGCTAAATAAGCGAGTTTTCGTACAACAGGGGAAATCATCGATGAAGTTACGGTCTGATAGATGCCAATATCAAAAGGGGCCAAAATCTTTGTGATATAAACGGATAAAAACTGTGTACTCAAAGTCCACAACTTTGGTATTACATACTTTTACACCAATTGCGCAAAGGGGAGTGGCCATTTTGACAGGAAGTTTCAGTCTGATTTTCACGAAATTCGATTTCAATTGTAATTATTGTATAACAGTTACATATGTGAACGTTTTTTAAAATCAAATGAAAATTGTGACCTTTTGAGGGTCCATAAGCTAAAATCAGAGGCTATAATCCAGAAATTTACAGTCCAATATGCGCCAATATCAAAAGGAACCAAGATCTTTGGGATTTAAATCTATACTTCAAGTTTTGTCAAAATCCGATAAAAATTGTGACTTGCAGAGTGTTCACGAACAAAATGTGAATGGACAGACAGGGGTGACGACAATATACATGTACGTCTACATAAAAATACCAAGAGAAAAGTCATCTTTACCGATACATGTTCATCTATTTCTCCTCGTATGTGAGAATGGTCTGCTTCTTTCTTCTGCGCTTCGGCTGCTTTCTTCATCAGTGTTTTAACATCCAAGCGTACATCACCAATACCACTGCTCTCCCCCTCAACATAATGCCCTTTGTAACGAGCCTTAGGTTTTTTCACATCAACTGCACTTGTAGCAACTATAAACAGATACAAACAAATTAGAAATATTCATTTAGGGCTGGTGTTCCTTTTCATTTTTCTTCAAATTTCATTGTTCAGGGATATTTGTTCTTTGGTTTTTCGGAAAAAATAAAGGATACCGTTCTTGGAAACCCACTACGTCACATCAACCTGAGTGGCAGAGAGCAAAAACATTTGTTCACTCCGACTTTTGTGAATAAAAAAGAAAATACAAGACCAGAGAGCAAAAACATTTGTTTTACTACCGACGCTTGTGAATGAAAAAAACAAAATACAATACTGTCACTCATAATTATCAAAATGGAAAAACTTGTGTAATTCTGGAGTATTTCTCCCCCAAAATAACTGGAATTTGAGACTGTATGAAAGAATACAAACAATGATGGAACTGACTACTGATTCTCTTACATGCAATTACATCACATATTACACATGTATACAATACCTTTTTTAATAGTTGCCGTCCAGACATATTTCTGAGAGGTTTCCGTTTTAGCAGCTTGTATCAAATATATAAATTCATTAAGGTCAAACTACCTAATGACATTATATGTTTATAATCAAATAGAACACATAAACATATACTTTCTCAAATGTCAAGAGCTTAACTGGAAAATATATTTAAACTACCAAGAAAAAGTATATTTTGTTGCTAAAATTATGATATCTTGAAAGCTATGAATGAGAAATTCTATTCAATAACTTTCCCAAGTCACATTACATGACCTAATTAAACTTGAAGGTACATATTTTTTAAGGAAACGCAGATGAGTTATCTAAAGTAGATAAAGTTACCAATAGCATGAAAGTAAATTTACACCCATTGTGACAACATCAAATGCATGTTGCAGTTTTCAATGTATGTCACTGATCATACTATAACAAGTGTGGTAATAGGAATGACTTGAAAAGTATTACACTGTATCACTGTAGATTTCAAGATGTTGCTTTCATGTCATTGAATTGAATGTGTCTGGAATAAACACAACGGCCTATACAGATACTTACTATCTATTTTTTCTATGGGTTTAAAACCTTTCTTTTTAGATTTTTTCTTCATTCTTTTCTTTCCATCAGTACCAATGACTTCTTCCTAAAAATAAGAGTATCAATGCATTGAAAATTCTGGAAATATTCTATAAAATCCACCTTTATAAGGAACACTGAGACCTAAATTACATATATAAGACATGTATATACCCAAAGACATTAATGACAAAGAATTCATTTCATTCAATCAAAATCTCACCTTGGTCAACTAATATTTTTTGATACAAATTTTGAAACTTAACTGTGATGACAGAAATAAATCTGAAACATATATCTATTTTCAAATAAATTTGAAAACCTAATCCCAAATTAACAAAAACAATACTCCAATGAGAAAAACATCTTTTAGATCTCTAAGCATATTTTCTTGCTCACACTCCCCTTCTTAAAGTCCAGATGTGCCATTTTAGCACTATAGAATTACTTGCACACTACAACATTGTGAAAGACGGATCACTAAAAGGAATATGAGTCTAAAAATGGTTCCATTCTGTTCACTTTTTACAAAGATATGTGGAATTAAAATTTCATCAATCTATGCTGCTGACTATGTCATTTTGTTGTCACTGAAAAATTTGTGAAAATTTTAAATTCAAGACGGGGACATTATCTAGTGCTGGTACTTTGATTTTGTTTTCTTAATTAAATGTTAAATAATCAATCTGAGTATATTAGCATGAATTAAACATACCGTGAGAAATTATTAATTTTTTTAGCGAAAAATGCCATTGACACATCAGGACTTTAAGTAACATGAAATGTAAAAGACTTACATATGACACATCTGAGTCATCATCACTCGCTCCAGATAGGGCTGTCGAAAGAATGGACAGTGTTGGTGAGGGGCCTGGCGATTGGCCAAATTTAGGAAAATTAAATCTCCATCGAGATAATTCCTCGTCGCCATCGGTATCAACATCACTTGATATCGTACCATCTTCTCTCTTCTTTTTCTTACGCTTTACATTTCTCACTAAGGCTGAAAATGGAGAAAATTGTTTCAGTGATTTCCCAAATTCACGTCTTAAAGGTTGACAAAAGGGATAAAAGGAGATCTTATGCAAAATGTCTGCATCCTTAAAAGATCCCTGTCGCTTCAAATATTTGCTAGCCAGTCAAAATTAAAAAGAAAATGACAATTTTTTGCACTATCCTTATTTATAAATAAAAAAACCACATTAAATTATTACAGCATTTTTCATTGTTTTTTACGGTTAAATGGTTTGAAATAACTAATTTTATGGCATTAGGTGAATTCTCCAGCCTGTCAAGAATGGTAAATGATTGAAGTGAAACATTACTAGCCCTGAACACATGACCATAATAATGGACACATGACCATAATAATGAACACATGACCATAATAATGGACACATGACTACAATAATGGACACAATGACCATAATAATATATAATGTTAAAGGAGCTAAATCGCTAATATTTGGGACCTAGAAATTGACACAAATGAGTCGCAACGCATATAATAATGTAATATGAATGTATATAGACTGATTTACTTTCAATTGTTTCTGTTTTTACTGTAATTTCTAATCAGTTATGTTCGGTGAAATACTCCAGAAGTCTCAATCGAATGGCAATCTCTCGCGTCTGGTTATTCTAGTCTACACATATAGTATTTATTGCGCATGCTCTCCAGACAAGAATATGGTGTCACCGTTTGACATGATTTGTGGAATATGTCTAGCCTCGTTCTTTGAGTCCTGTGTTAGAAATGGTGCAGAAACGTATTGGATATCAGAAGTCCATCTTTTCCCGGTAAGATCATAGCATCACCGATGATTTAAATTGACAAATAATTTGTGTTTCCAATGTCAAAGACTTTGGATTATATTGAGTTAGAGACTTAGCTACTTTAATTATAACACATCTATAAATAAATTAATTAGATATCCTAGAAATATTACATAAAATTTAAAAGTTTCTACATTAAATGTGCATGTACATAAAAATTTCATTAAGTTTCAATATTTAAAAAGGCTGTGAACAAGATCAGTAGGTTCAAAATATAATCAAAATTGACAGTGGCAATGCCAGAATTTTCTAATCAGGGCGGGGGCCTCCCCATGAAAATTTTCAGAATTCTCAGCAGAATTCCTGGATAAGGAACAGAATCAACAGAAATAATTGCATTGATCAGAATTGACAGAATGTGGAAACATTGTCCCACAAAGTTTAGCTGTGACTAGCTTTGAAGGGAAAAAGTACATACATTAAATTTGGGGGGTGGGAGGGGGGAGGCACGCCATCTGCAACGACACTGAGACTTTAAAATCAGGTCTGGGCACCAAAGAAGTCTTTTTCTTAGAAAGCTGAGCTTTTACTCAAATATAATCAGTATTCAAGACCTTGACCAATTCAAAAAGTTACCAAAAAGTTATGCCGTAAAACTGTTCAATATATCTAAGTAAAAACTGAACTTAGTAAGAAACAATGAAACAGAAATTACTCACTAAATAAGAAAATAATAATAATAATGTACTAAAATTTAAACATACATTATGCAAGGGCTAAATCTGCCTATTGCAGGTCTTTCTTTAGGCCTGAAATGTTTTCTCAATTATTAATTAGACATTAATTAACTGATCCAGGCCATAATCAACTCGCGATGGCATCAGATTTCTCCGATATTAAATAGATTAGAACGGTTCAGCCATATTTTAATTTAATCTAAAAATGGAGGAGTGATACTTAGCTTCGAACAACAAGTATGGTGGTTGCAATTATTGCACACGTCTTGTCAAACCTTCAAAGGCTAATATCTTTGCTCGTAATAGAGTAATTGGAATGAAATTATTCATGAATGGCTAGTTTTTTATCTAAATCTTACATAATGTATCTTTAAAGTTTGTGCATCTTAGAACTTTTAAATAAATATGAACAGATAACATTATAACTTCCATCATAAAATGCCAAAAATTTAAATCATGAAAGGTTACAAAAAAGTGAGACGATCAAAAATCATGCACCACAAGAAGAAACATTTTTTTGCAAATTTCATCGTTTCTTTTCAAGTTTAACAAATAAAATAATAAACAGTAATATAAAATATAATATTGTGCAATGCGTGCAAGTTGAGTTCGCAAAAGCTGTAATTATCATTAAAATACCCAGTCTAAAACGAATCAATTTTAATAAATGTTGCTGTTGTTCGAGTTTAACATCCTTCCCTTTCATGTCAACTTTCTTTATCTGATAAGCTGAAAAATATTTCATATTATTGATGCTATACTACAATGAATAAATAGATGTAGTACCAGACAATGATACATTTACACCCACAAGAAGAAATGGCAAAAACTTTTGAAGGTTTCTCATTCAAATTGATCACTTTATAGTGAAATCTAATATTCATGTTGTCTTTATTTAAATAAAATGGTTCTGTTTGCTACTTTACCTCTATGTAATAAATGTTCCATAGTTGACCTCATCTGCTTCTTTAGATCATTCCTTGTCACCTCTGACCTCATGATAAGGTCAATGTCTTGTAGTTCTCCAGGAGTTCCAGGTGGAGAGAAGTAGATTTCAGTTGGTGCCATTGAGTATAGTGACTCCAGATCTGAATCCTGTGAATAAAAAGGTACAGGCAGAGTAAAAATATAAAATGAATAATTTACATAATAAAATGTGTCTTTATAAGGACATAGTAAATGGCTGCTCTCTGTTGGTAGCCATGATAATCTCAACATCTCTCAAAACTTTATTGTCACATCTCTGTAGCCAGAGAGAAAAAAAGAGTAGGCCGTAGTGCCCCTGTCCGGGCAAAATTTCCCTCATAGCACTATGTATGGCGTATGCCCGTCTTCATTAGCCTAGTTCGGAGCAGAACAGTAGGACGTTAAACCCCATTTCATTTCATTTCATTTACAGCTTTAATAGTCAATAGATGGGTTATATAGTCTCTTTGACTATACTGCTGAGTATTCTCACACTGTGTTCCTTGCCAGAAATCAGATCGGGACTGAAGCGTGCACATTCGCTATGGCGTGTACAACTTTCAATAGAGAAATTTTGGCTGAGTGGGGAACCCTAAAAATATACATATTTTTGGGAAAAATAATCTCGGGAAAGAAACCCTTTTACCTTGAGTCTCCCCTTTCCCCACCTAGCATACAAAAACAAAATCTAAATGACAGTAACATACCTCATTCTCTTCTTCTGAACTTGAATCCCAGAGTGGTTTACCCTCTAGAAAATCTTTAGAAAATTCAATCTCATACGGTATCTACAAACACAAAAGAGAATGCAAGGTAACATTAATCACGATACGCCCACATTTTGCAAGAGATGGATAGAGAACAAGCTAAAAACAAACACGATTTGTTGTACAATCAGGGGCAATAATCCAGAAAGTTATGGTCTGAAATGCACAAATATCAAAAGGGACTGAGAGATTTGGGATATAAAGATATGTTTTAAGTTTAATCAAAATCGGATAAAAATTGTGACCTCTAGAGGATCCACAACCTTCGTATTACATACTTTTACACAATTTGCGTACAAAGAGCAGCCATTTTCATTAAATTTTTTCTGAAATTCAAATTCAACCTTCATTATGATGGAATGGCGATATTTTTAAACAGATTTTAAAATCTGAAAAAAAATTGTGACCTCCAGAGAATCCGCAAGCTAAAAATGTGATTTTTCGAACAATCAGGGGCCATAATCCAGGAAGTTATATTCGGCTATGCGCGATTATCAAAAGGAACCAAGATCTTTGTGTGTAACGGTGATATATTCACACGTTTTTTTTTAAATCGGATAATAATTGTGACCTCTAGAGGGACCACAAGTTAAAAAAGTGATTTTTCGAACAATCGGGGGCCATAATTAAGGAAGTTACGATCTGATTTGTACGAATATCGAAAGGAACCAAGATCTTTGGGATATAAACATTCATTTCAAGTTTCATCAAAATCGGATCAAAATTGTGACCTCTAGACGGTCCACAACATTGTTATACCAGATGTTTACACTATTTGCGTACAAGGAGTGGCCATTTTGTCAGGCAGTTTTGGTCTGATTTTCACGAAATTTGAACTCAACCAACATTATGGTGTAACGTTGATATGTTCAAACGTTTTTTTAAATTGGATAATAATTGTGACCTCTAGAGGGACCACAAGCTAAAAACGTGATTTTTCAGACAATAAGGGGTCATAATTCAGGAAGTTACGATCCGATATGCGTGAATATGGAAAGATCTTTGGGTTATAAACATGCATTTCAAGTTTCATCAAAATCGGATCGAAATTGTGACCTCTAGCATGTCCACAAGCTAAAAAAGTGATTTTTCGTACAATCAGAGGCCATAACCCATAAAGTTATGGTCCGATACATGACAATATCGAAAGGAACCAAGATCTTTGGGAGATATACCTTTATTTAAAGTTTCGTCAAAATCGGATAAAAACTGTGACCTGTAGAGTGTCCACAAACAAATTGTGGACGGACAGGGGCGACGATAATATAAGTCCAAATGAAAATGTGGGCGTATAAAAATTACACGGTTTTAAGAAAATGTACTAATATTTACCAAATAATGTTCTAAATCTACAGGATCAGGATTAGCAACAATTCCTTCATATGATACAGCTGGATCTTCATATATCACAGATTCTGAAAAAATATTAATTTTATAAAATATTAAGAAAACAAAAGTGATTAATTTATTTTCTCATGCAAATATTATAAAAACTTTCTTTTAGTACAGTACATCCATATTCAAGATACCTTACATTCTATAATATGATCATTCAATATTCCTCCGGTGTTCAGCTGATACACAGACCAACATAAAATAGATATACAATAAAATTTGTGACAGTGATAAAAGCATCTAACTATGTATGAGCTTGTGACATAGATTTAATTTTTCATATTTTTACCTTAGAACATTTATAAACAATTATGAAATATCTTATATTTTTAGTGTTCAAGTAATTCATATTTAAATAAAACCCTTTCAATTACAAACTAATAATACGTAAAGTTAATTATTAGCTCCCAATGCTACGCCATCAAAAACTGGATATTTAAAAATCCATACTCACCTTTATCAAATTCATCCTCTTCATCACCAGATGGCTTCAGATGTGGACAAACTGAAGCAGACATTTTAAAATCAAAATTATAAGAGGAATAACAGATACTTTTAATGTCACCCAGTATGCAACTTTGTTATGCATGTGTATATCATATGACCCAAAACCAACATAAACCTACTCTTTTTCGCCTTTCTTAACAATGTAAAAAAAGATTACAAATAAATGGGCTTAAAACTTAACCTCAGGGGCTCCCTTGTAAATAATTAAAATTAAGGGTAAGAAGAAGAATTTGAATAATGTACAGTACAGCGCATACCTTTAGTGTGATCTATGTAAAAGATGTGATTCTTAAAACCCATTATTAGATCAGCTTTATTATTTAAAAAACAAACAGAACTGAGTGAGCCATCCATCATTATCTCTGTTAATAGTAATCTCTGTTCATCCCATATCTTTATAGCACCATCAACACTGAAACATATGTAATATAACCAAAAAATGTATAATTCAATTAGGCTTCATAATACTGATAATAGCAACAAATAAAAGATTTAAATATAATATATTTCAATAAATCAATCAATAATTTTTGAGAGTTTACAAAAGGCTGATATCCCATACACATGTCTTGATTCTAGATCTTAAATTATCTTATTGGTCATTACAAAATTTAATTTTACAAATAAAGGATACTGTACGGATTTGTAAGGCTATATACTATAACATATATTTTTTTTATAATTTTTTTGGAGGGGGTCATGTTCCCACCATTAGTCCAGTTGATATGGAATGACCCTTATTTTTTGTTGTTGCTCTTAGTGTTTAATGTCCGCTTCCACCGAAGGTGATATCGCAGACAATTTGTCTTTTTTAAATTTCCAGTAAGAGGAAAACGGAGTACCCAGAGTAAACCCTCGAGGTTGAGAAGACCCCCTATCTCAAAGTCACATAAGGGATCGAAATCCTTGCTTTTGCTAATAAAAAATTAAAATCTAACATTTTTGATTTGCAGTAATATGCCTGTCATTTTGGATATTCACACAAAGATTTATCCACATTTTGAAGACTAGAAGGCTTTCTCAACACTTTCAACGTGTATAAAATGTCCCAAAAAAATTTATAAACAAAACTGAATTCTCTGTGTGACATTTTCTTCTCAAAATACCCAGACACAATTCATTATACTATATAATAAAGGGACATAACTCTATGAATAGAGACTATTAAACCAGAAATAGAGAATCAAGTAGCACCAATCATGTTGCGAGACATATCAATTTCAAGTAATTATATCAGTATTCAATTTGAAAAAAATAAATCCAGTGTATGCTCCACGTATTGTAAATAAAATATAAAAAAAGAAATATATGTAAACATATTGTAAAATGAGAAATCAAAGTAAGAATTCCCCTAAAATATTATTGTTTATATCGTGTGTGTCTATGAAACTGAAATTTGGCAAAATTGAACTTTTTGATTAGCAGTGCCCTAGCAGTGGTGCTAATCAACCGTGAAAAACTACCTGCTTGTAAGTGTGCATTTGAAATACCGGTGTCATACCTGCTTGAACAAAAAATCTTCATAGCTTGACAAGAATCTAAACACATGATTGGTTCTAAATGTTCTGGTCTTTTATAGACATCAACAACATCTTCTAACTCTGGAATCGCTGTTAATGCTTAAACAACATTGAATAACATAAAGCTATTATAAGTTAAATCATACCATTTTGATGAATTTTTTAAATTAATTAATTAATTAATTTTAAATTAATAATACAGAGAACTATTTACTTATCTTGGGGGGCGGGGGGTGATGTGGTCTAAGGAACACTAGTTTGAGACGGTTTGATGTGGTCTAAGGTACAGTAGGTTCGGGTGGTTTGAGGTGTCTAAGGAACTGTAGTTTCAGGCAGTTTGATGTGGTCTAAGGAAGAGTAGTTTTGGGTGGTTTGATATAAGAAACAGTAGTTTTGGGCAGTTTAATTGATGTGGTCTAAAGAACAGTACAATGTAGTTTCAGCATGGTTTCGGGATGTCCAGGGATATATTGGTACAGACCATTTCATTTTTTCTAACTTTCTTTAAGGAACTGGGGTAGTACCAAGTACTAAATGGTTAAGGCTGGTATGATTTAGACAAAAATTCAAAACATCAATTTACTATGTCCATCTTCTTTCTAAATGGAGAAATGAGGGAGTCAAAGCATGTGTATCCACTACCATTTACAAAGCTAGAAATGATTAGAAAATATATATATCTTACATCTTGTTTTGATATAACCCTGATCAACAACAGGTTCTAATATATGTAAATTTACACATCCATTTTCATGACCAGTTAGAAATGATTCATTCTGAAATATATTACTTACACAATAGGTTGCCAGGCAACGAAACATACGCCCACAGCTGCTAAATTGTCCAGGCAGTCAACAAGAGTTGTTGCATATTTTTTAATATTGTCGGTAATGAAGCATTATAATACACTAAATCTGATTAAGGGTAACAACTCGTTAAATAATTATCAGAAAATCATTAGAATTTGTTTGGTCAATGCTAACATTATACAAAACATTTAATATCATGGATTTAGCTGTTCAAGTTATCAAAAATCATTGAAAATCAATATACATGTACTTGTTCGTCTCAAGACCTTAAACTCTGTGTATCAATCTAAATTCAATCGAAACGATTATATATAGGCGTAAACACAGTGTATAAATATAAAATCAATCAGATATTAACCCTAGTCTCTAGAGCGTCCAAACGATTTTTCAAAGTGATTAAGGGCCATACATCTGGCAATAATCATCGGTGAAAAACAATAGGCTTTAGCCTCTAGAGCATCCACAAGATTTTTCAAACTGTGATCAAGGGCCATAACTCTGGCAGTAATTATCGGAAATTCGTGAAAATCAATAGGCTTCCTTTATCTCATGACATTAAACACTATGTATAAATTTAAAGACAATCGGATATTAACTTTAGCCTCTAAATTGTGGACGCTGGACAGATGGACCGACAGGGGCGACGACAATATACAACCACATTTCAATGCGGGCGAATAAAAATGAAATTTTATTCAAAACATTTCAAAAACTTAAGTGTTAATTTTTACAGAAAAGTATACTGAAATTGATAGTTGTTTTTAAAAGACACAGGCTCTTATATACATGCCTTGAAATGAAATGTAATATCTTTATAATCAAGTCTAAATATATGTTTATGCAAACTGACTTACTATTCTAGTATATTGTACTATATCTAGGGCACAATATACTTCATGTTGTAAAAATAAAGTTGGTAGTGTCCACATCTGTATTTGTGTCAGATATTTCAAGTTACTGACAGTAACCAACGAATTATGTGTGCTGTCGTGTGACATGGCAATAATCTATTTTTAAAAAAGCATAGAGACCAAATATTAACAATACAGATTATGACAAAACACTTAACAATCTCTATAAATCAATGATGAAATTAAGGAAGCTGATTGTCATTTGTATCCTTGGTATCCCCCGTTTTCTCATTCCGTTCCACCCAAGTATTCAAATTATCTGCCCTTGCTGATTGTGCTATTTTCATCGACCAATCAAAGAAATAATTTTATTAAATACATAAAAACTGACATAAAACATCTTTCCAACCAAAATGATGTTTTCTCATAACCAAGCGAACAAGCCGCCATAGTGTTGTGAACGTACACAATGAGGCTAAGACTGGTTTGTAAACGTTTTTTTTGGATTGGTTCGTAGAATTAAGCTATGATCAAGGGCAGATAATATGAATATGTGAATACCCCATGGATAAATCCAGGGTATGGTAGAGTAGAACGGAATGAGGCCACTGGGGATACTAAGGATGTGTCATTTGAGGCATTTTGAATCCCTAGCAAACTATGATATTTTCAAAGTTGAATCTCTAAATGGAATACCAGTCCAAAAATGGAATATCAATTGTAAAATGGTTCAATTCCATCCAGAATTTAAAAAGATCTTTGCAACACGCCGCATCACACAAAAAGCTGGTATTACTTACTGCATCTTTAGAAGCCTTAAATTCCATGTATTTTAATCCTTTTACTACTGGATCCATGAAGAACACTCGTCCATCCTGTAACAACAAAACCTAAAACACTTGATACCAGTTATCATTTATATGATCATAAAGAACATTGAACATTGTTTCTTCAATATCTGATTTTATGACTGTGTATAAAAATCAAATACATGTACATTTCATAACCTGCATGTCAATTTAAGTTGCAGCCTGTCTGAAGAATATGATCAAAACAAAAACATTACTCCCAACCAAAGAAGCTTCTCCATCAATATAACAAAACAAGAAACAAATGTCCACCTCAAGCATTTTGAAAGATGGTTTTCAAGGACAATAGCTATGCATAAAATTGATTGACAAGTTAGATTTCATTAGTGATTAGATCATCAAGCTTGAAAATAAATCTTTTAAAAATTTGACCTGTACAGCATTTTCAAGGTTTTCAGGGACAGAAGCAGTCTATAAATTTCAAAAACTTTGACTTGCAGATCTAAATTGTTGACACGAATTGTGAACTGATTGACATACAGGGGTGATGACAAAATATTCCCACAAGAAATATGGGCATATAAAACTAAACAACACACCTCCATTCCAAGAAGTAGATAAGTTTGTCTGATTGGACTAGCTTCACCTTCATCAGTCATCATTAAAACCGTTGAATTTAAAATACAAACACAGCAACACACAGTTAAACTTTCTGTTCCTGTTCCATTCTCTGTAGCCCTATAAACAGGTCCTTCTTTAATATTAAATCCACTAAAATAAAACAATTAATATTAGTGGTTAACTGTATCCAAAATATTTCACATTTATCTACATCAACAAAAGGAGATTACCTAATTGATCAATCTGATTAAAACACAGATACTAGGATCTGGAAGAGTTGTTAAATAACATGTGTTCTGGATGATATGAGGGATTAGCCAATGCATCAGACTGTTACGGCGAGTTCTTGGCGTGAGGTGCACGGAACTGTAGATAACCCACTAGAAACATCAATGCTGATTGGTTAATCAAATGTCTGATGTCATGACCCCTGACACGACCGTCCTCTACAATATGTCAGATCTTCATGTAGTGTAGGATGGGATTATTTTTTTTTAATTGTCTTCTTTTCACACATCAAAATGCAAATCTACAATTGTCGTCACAAATATGCAAATGTTTTTATTTCTTGAATATAAAAATTGGTAAATTTAATTTATTTGTACCTAGGCGCTGGGATACCCTCTGTATCAGTTTTATGTCGTCTCATTAAATATGGTATTTGTATCTCCCTCACGTCCCATACTGCCATTCTACATGATGGATCAGTCCTAAAAAACATCATACATATAGATTTAATTTTAATATAAACTTTTTATCTGTTCAAAAATTGTTTCATGCTATCCTATGACATACTAAAGATGTTATAAGACTGGGAGCTGGCAATGTATTCTGAATTATTTAGCCTTTCATTGTATTCTTTATCAACTCACTCATTAAGTGAAACTCTTGCTTAAAAACTCATTACAGGAGCATGAGGCGATGCCACTACAATGCCAGGCAGATTCAAAACATGTCTCCACAGCTTTAAGTATATTATGATTTGAAGTAATATCATTTACCTAACGTCCATATATGCTTTAAGTAATCTAAAAGATGTATCGAAATTGGATCCCTGGCAGACGTTTGTTAGCTACTAGATAATTGTGTATTCTAACTATTTGAATGGCCTTTGTTTGTTTACTTTTTAACACAACTTGCTTCATCTTCAGATAGCACTGCCTCCAATGTAATCAACTGACAACTCAAATTTTCAGAGATTGTTATTTAAAAGCTAAGCATTGAACTACACAAAACTGGACAAATCAAAATGGCATTCTGATATTACCATGAGTTCCTCTGAGAATATTTTTTTCTGAAAATACCTTGTTTTAAAGCCAAAACATTCTAGTCAATTCAATTAATTACCCACCATGAAACCTTTTTTGTAAAAACAGTTTGATCGCAATTGGCAAATTGAAATGGGTTTCACTGTCATAAGCAAAGCTAAATAAAGCAATTTACCTGGTTGTATAAACCCAGATTTCATTAGTCTTTTGTTCGTCTCTAGCAATCAGTAGAAAAGCTACATTAAATTCACGACTATAGCACATACTAGAAATTTGTTCTAAGGGAGATAAGTCTGGTGGAGGTAGCACTGTTGAAAGGTTTTTCTGAGATTTTCTAGCAAAGAAGCGAACACTGAAAAAAATGATGGTTACTTTAAGTACTTCTATAATGATAACAAAATCACACTCAAATCTGTCTTTGTGTGATAAATATAAGTTGTCATATTAGTCTGATTGCAAAGTGATAATTGTGCCAGGCAAATACTGAGTAACATTCCAATAAATTCAAAGCATACAGTATAATTGTCAGCGATATCACTTCAGTGGAAGCAGACGTAAAATAATAATATTCCACACACACATAAATCTAGAAAACAAAATGAAAGACCCACTGCCTAATGCCTGTACACAATTTTTTTCACCCAACTACTGCGCCTGATTAACTTTCGTGTTATCTAGATATGTGTAGGCTACATACCTGTTGTCTTCTGCTATTGTTACTATACGTGTTGTCTTTTTAGGACAACCTACTAGCGACATAGCTGTGACTTTACTTCTAGCCATACTCCAGAACTCGTAGAAATAGTTGAGTGACCAGAGTGTAAGATGTTTACATGTACATATATATAACAAGTTATCATCTGTTAAACTCATCCACATGATACCTTCTGATGATGCTACCAAACTATAATAAATATTGAAAATACAAAAAATAAATCATCTATTTTAAATTCTAGTAGAAAGTAACAACTGCTTGCAGCAGGGAGAAAGAGAGAGAGAGAGAGAGAGAGAGGAGGATGGGGTTTAAAATCCACTCGACATAAACAAGGTCATTTCGGGGCTAACATATGGTTCAGTTTTATTTCAAAAATCTGCATGCACGTAGGGGTCTTTAGCAGTGGGAGGACCCGGAAAAAACTTAAGAGGTCGGGTAGGCAACCCATGCTACTTGACTCAATGACAGACCTTATGATCCAATGCACACATATTAACCATTCAGCCACCTAACCCCCTGCAGCAGAAGAGTATTATAACTATTTATTACACAGTTCGTAAAATTAAGCTTAGAAACTAAGGAGCATTTAAAGCGAACAAGGCAGAATTTTTATATGGTCATGCGCATGCCGTATTTCATACGTTAAAAGTGTACCTCAAATATACAGGAATAATGTCTGTACCAGCTCCCCTTCCTGGCTTTCTTATTTGATAGATGTAGACAAATATTATGTATATGGCTATTTTCTTAGGTGAATATTAGCTGACAAATGCATGTGTTTCTTGGCTGTTATAAGATCACATAAGAAATAGTTCATTGAAGTAGAACATTCGCTGAAGTTCATTATCTGTATAGCTCATATCTGGTTGTGTTGGAGTAGCCTCTCAATGTTAAGATTATCATTCTATAGAACTATTGTACCCATATTGTAAATTTACCTGTAAAGTTGTTCCATGGTTTCTAAAGACCACATTCTGATGGTTCCATCCAGAGATGATGTTATAACAATAGAAGAGTTATCAGGATGTAAAATTAGATTAGATACAGCTCTAGAATGACCACGAAATGTATGTACTAAACCTCCAGTCATGCTCCATACTTTTACTGAAATTTATCAAACATTATACAGATAATGAGAAATTTAAATTCTGGGCCAAGAACCAGACATTGGTGCGCGAGTTAGAGCAGACCATTAAACGGAATGGGATTTAACGTTTTGTCAACACAATACTTTTTCATCATTTAAATTTCTATGCTTATGGGATTTTGCACAGGGAGAATTTTGACCAGAGAGTAGTGTTTCCACCTTTCATTCATATAATTCCATGTACATTACTAATTTCCACACTTTTCTTGTCATCTCACATCTGCCAGCACCTGACAAGTGAGAACCAGTCTTGAAAAATCAAAGGTTATTCTCGATCTACATCTTGATTTGAACCAGGGACTGCTTCAAATTGAGCATCACTGAGATACAGTTCTAGTCGAAGTTATCATAATATTTCATAACAAAAAAAATAAACTAAATATTAAGTCTAATGATAAAGTACTTACCGTCACAGTCAACAGAAGAAGTAACAAGAACTTTAGCTGTCATTGAATATCGGCACCCAGTAATTGTCATCTTGTGGGCTCTTAAATGTAAAAAATATATTCTAGTTCTTACATAGCACTTTGTCACTTAAAAAGGGCCACCATGACACATTTTTATTTCAAAACATAACAAAAATAATAACATTCTCATAAATTAATACATATTATTTCATATTTTCTGCAGTGAAGTGAAGTACATGTCAGTCTATAATTAGATCATCCGCATAGGTATTAAATAAATTATTACCAGTGCTATCTACTGATCAGGTTAATCGTTGAAATTTTAAGATGCACTTTGCTTACATATTGCATTCATCCATTCAACATCTCCCATCTATCAGAGTTACATACAGGTTCATCCAGACACAAGGTGATTGCTAGACTACTTGATAAGTGGACTTTTTCTATTTCTCAAAAAATGTTTCATAGCACTTCAGATAGTTATTTGTGACTGGAATAAAAGTGTTCCAAGAGCCTTCCACACAGAATTAACAGGTTTTATTTCCTGACATATATCTGGTATTTCTCCTTTTATATCACAACTATCAATGAAATTTAACAGCAGAAGACCTTGAGAAACATGGTAGGCCGAATTAGGTAGGTGTACTTACTTTTTAAATTTGAAGAGCATTTTACCCTGTAGATTATAAACATTAAGATCAGTATCTGAACAACAATAAAGATGTTCTAGATGATGATCTAATTCAACTCTCTTTACCCAACTACCACCAACATCAGGTAACTCATACCTATAATTAAAAGATCATTCAAAAATAAATACAGTTCAGTGTCCTCCACACCCCTGTATGTATCATATTAGGCAATGGGTAAATCATTATAAGGAATATACCAGGCACTTCTCAAGCGTCACATTTAGTAATTGAAGAGTAACACACTATTTAAAGTTTATCTATGAAATAACAATTACTGGTTTATAAATTGAAAATCACTAGTTTAAATAATATTAGTTTTTCATCTAAATACATAGGAATTCACTTATCTAGCTAGATTTATATAAATATACACAACACATCTTACAATTGTATGTTTCTAAACCAGTAATTGTTATTCCGCATATATATAAGTTTTATTAGGCTACATTCAGTTGGTAACACAACCAAAATCTGTTCTTATAAGTAATCTTTAAATTTTACTAAAAGTACTTACTTTAGAGTTAATCTGTAATTTGCCATTGGTTTCAAATCTTTAAATATATTCTCAGCTACTTGATGAAATGTCCAGAACTTATAATGTGAAAAAAATATGCGAAATAGAATTTGAAAATTAATATTTTTGCAAATAATGACACTATATTCTTTTAATAAAGAAACAACAAAAATCTCAACAACCCACACAGAACCGAGGAAGAAAATAACTGTCAATACAATTTCCATTTAGTTTAATTCAGATTACTTAAATGAAATAATTGAATTAAGTGGCAGTTATCAAGACATTACGTCATGATGCACATAGTGAACAACAGTCCAGTACAGTATTTCAGTATAAATTATATCATACCTTTGTTCCTCCCACTCCTCCAGTAATCAGTTCATCTTTCAGTGGATTAAATAACATAAATAAAATAGAACGTAAATCAGCACTAACAGAACAAGTTTCTTCAAAATCACGATTTAATACCTAAATATAAAAATAAATAGTATAATATTTTGATGGTGAATATGTAAGTAGAATTCAATTATGAATCAAATCACTTTTCAAGATAATTATAAATAATGATTTCAAATTTTTTAACATGTTCACTGACACAAACTAGGTCATATCAGGTCATATCCGGACTAATTGTTCAATTTTATTTCAACAATTCGCTTGTGCGTAGGGGTCTTTAGCAGTGGGCGGAACTGCAGAGGACCCGGAGAAAACCAATGAGGTTGGACAGACAACCCTACTCCTTGTCACATACAATCAGGGTATCAAAACCACGCCAGTTGACTCAATGGCAGACCTTATGATACAGCGAGCACGCGCTAACCATGTGGCCATCCAAACCCCCTAAATTAAACTTAAGATTTACATCAAACTTCAATTTTAAAAGATAATTTTAAATCATGCTTATATAAAATGTCCTCGTTTTCATTAGCCCAGAGGGGAGCAAAAAAGTATGTTAAATTCTCATTTCAATTCTTTTAAGAGTTGAATATAAGAAAGAAATGATACAAATATATATATACCCAACAGCAGTATTTTGAAAGATGTTATAGCATGTTGTGCATTATAAATATTCCCCTTAATAAGTGTCAACAATAACTGATGCTTTCTTTATAGTTGCCGAACAAAAACTCTGTGTAAAATTGACATTAACTCTGAATTTCGACAGGCTTCTTCAATTCTCGTTTGTATGGTTAAATAAGATGTGATTAAATTTGATTAATTCAAAACAGAAAATATCCTACCTTTAAAGAAAATTCTTTGGTAAGAACAAAATAACAATTAAACTTTCTAACATATATAATATGAGTAAACATCCGATATTCATATTTGGCAAACACATAGGCCCTAGAAACTGTAAGAGAAAAAAACACAAGTTTAGATTACAAGAGCAACGCTACCGCTGTAATACACATCCACATTTCTGCTTTGATTTGATATGTTATTTTTTAAAAAGAACGAATGAAATATGAAATAGCTGCAACGACTGTAATATGACAAGAGGCAAAGAAGGCTAGGTGTTGGGTTTGTTTTGCCAAAATTTACAGATTAATTATTAACAAAAAAAGGGTGTGACACCACCCCAGAGGCTCAAGGCATGCACGAAACAGTGGCTGTCTTTACTGTGTAAGGAATAAATGTGCCAAGTTCCAAGATGATCCATTCAGAATTACAGCCTGTAGACAAAAAACACAAAAATTGGGTGTGGCTCTGCCCAGGGGGAGGGGGGGGGGGCCGGAGGGGGGTATGTGGACATGGACCAATATAAATAGCTACAACCCTATGATGAATCATGCGAACTGGATCCAAATCTGCTAATATAGGAACTTGTAGATTATTTACAGACAAAATATTAACAAAAAGCGGGTGTGGCACCACCCAAGGAGGGCATATCATGCACCAAAATCAATAGTTGCTGTCCAAGCATACCAAGTTCCAAGACAATCAAATCAGAATTCTGGCCTGTATTCAATAAACACAAAAATCGGGCGTGGCTCTGCCCCTGCAATGGGGTTGGGACATGCACCAAAATCAATAGTTGCTGTTCTTAGCCTATAACATATGCCAAATTCCAAGACGATGCATTAAGAATTGTGCCTGTAGGCAACATACAAAGAAAAAATGGGTGTGGCTCTGCTCCTGGGGATCGGGCATGGACCAAAAGCAACAGGTATCATCCTTACGGTATAAGGAATAGGTATGCAAAGTTTAAAAAGGATCGGTTAAGAATTGCAGTCTGTAGGCGACACACAGACACAAACAAAAACTGTGTGTGGCTCTGTCCCAGAGGGTCGGACATGCACCAAAAATAAAAGAGGTCATCCCTAGAGTACAAAGAATAAGTATGAAAAGTTTTCAAGAGGATCCATTAAAAATTGCGGCCTGCAGACGACACACAAACACATAAAGAGAAAATTTGCAGGGCTCTGCCCCTGGGGGTCGGGCCATGCACCAAAATCCTGTAGGCAGCACACAAGACACATAGAAAGAAAATGGGTGTGGCTCTGCCCTTGTGGGTCTGGCATTCGCCAAAAACAATAGGGATCATCCTTAGGGTATAAGATATAAGTACGCAAAGTTTCAAAAGGATCTGTTATGAATTGTGGCCTGTAGGCGATACACAGACACACGCAAAAATTTGGTGTCTCTGTCCCAGGGGGTCAGGCGTGCACCAAAATTAATAGAGATCATGCTTAATATTTAAAAAAGTTTTCAAGATGATCGATTAAGAATTGCGGCCTGTAGACCACACACAGAAACACAAAAAGAAAATGGCCGTGGCTCTGCCCCTGGGTGTTGGGAATGTGCCATAAACAATAGTGACGATCCTTAGGCTATAAGGAATAAGTATGCAAAGTTTCAAGTGGATCCGTTAAGAAATGCAGTCTGTAGATGACATAGAATCAAATACAAAGAATGGGCATGGCATGCACCAAAAACACAAGGGAACATCCTTAGGCAACTTTTAAAGCAAAAATTCAATAAAAATAGAGCTTGCCGATAAATACATCAGCTTAATAACCCAATTCAGTACTTTATTTTGACCTAGATCAAACCAGATTAACTTAAGGCTTTCACTTTTGACTTATTTCATTTATCTCAGGTAAGCACCACAAGATATCAACAGGAAATTAGATAATTCTCAATAAGGTCTACGGTCTGTGGTGGGTTTTCCAACCACAAGAGTTCCACCACATAATTTTCTTTTCAAACATCAAGCCAATCAATGTCTGTCTCTCTTTGTGGTGCTACAACAATCAATTCAGTTTTGTTTTTTCATCTTGTGCTCAGTATTTCAATTTTTTAACAAACTCACTTTTACCTAATTAATATCTGACTAGTTTCATTAATAAGTTGTGTTATTACTTGTGTAGATGTTTCAATAATTCTCTTCCCCTGATGTGGGAGGAAAACTGGTGTGCAAAGAAAAAAACTCCACAAGATTATGCAAGAAATTATGTATATATTTATATCTACTTCAATACCTCTGTGTTCAACAGCATCTCTCTTCCATGTTGTTATTCCTTTGGCATCCAGTAAAACAAACTGTCTCATTCTTCCATTGTATGCAACTAACATAAATAAGGAATTATAATTAAGACACATGTAAAGTAAAATTCTATTTCCATTAAATTTTCGAAAGAATGGTTCATTACTGACTAGGAATTAAGGGAGTTGAATCTCTGATCATCATTTGAGGGATTCTGTATCCATTGCAAACTACAATATACTGAATGATATAAGTCTCTAAAAACTAACAGGAATATCAGTCCAAAAGATCAATCCAGTTTATAGTTACAATGATGAATTGAACATTTTTCAACATTATACATCCTCTGTAGACAATATAAATGGGATATGATCAGAACAAGTCAGCGCCACTTAAAATCTTTTGATAGACCTTTTTTACTGTTGATATTTTGATTTAGCTAGTCTTCTTAATGAAATGTTAAATAATCAAAAAGAGTACATTTTAGCATTGATTAAGCTGCAAAAAATTAGATATTGTCCAAAAATTTCAAATAAAATTTAGTGGCTTTAATATCTCAAAATACTTTGATTATTTAGAAACTAAGTTATAGCTGTTTATTCTTCTATGGTTATGCACAAGTACAATGCTAGACAGGAAATTTTGCCTAGACACAAGCATTCTTTCCTATTCTGCATTCAATTCCTCATGCAATATCAACATGTAAATGCTTTTCATATAACAACTAGACCACAGGCATAACCTCTGACAAATGGGAACCAGGTTTGAAAAATCTGTAATACTCTCTGCCAGGCGAGGCATGAACTGGTGAGATGATGTGTTACACTGTAATGCTGACATTGTTCACTTTTGAACTGAAGAGTTTTACTGATGAAAATTTATCTCATTTACTAATATAAGTTAACTTTACTTTAATTATGTATTATACATACAGTAGTCATTAATTAGCAGGTGTGTAATTAATTGTAAAACACCACTAGTACTAGTGGTGTATATCACAGTCACCTTATATTAGTGACATATGTAGCACCTACTCTGTTGACTACTGCCACTGGCTGATTACTAACCATTTTAATGGGCAAGTTAACATTATACCCGTAAAATGATGACTTGGATATATATTTGTGGTAGATATATTCATCAGTTAAAGACAGTTGTTCGTAAGTATATGGTATCAATTTTACTGTGTAAATAAAGCTTTTGAGAAAAAATAACCACAGACCTCCCATAATATCTGTGTTTTTTCTACCATGATCATATGTTGCCCTGGGTTGAATGTCAAATGGTACACTGGTATAGTGATCCGATATTTGAACTGTTTCCTCATCACTTGTTGTAGAACTTATCAAAGAAAAAGTAGAGTTTCGCTTCTCTAAATTATTCTCTATGGTGGTTTGAATTCTATCAAAGACATGGTCGGTGCCATCAGGAATATCAAGATTCTGTACTATATGTTCCTGTGAGGTATTGCTGCTGTTGTCGTCAATATCATCAAAAGTTTCTCGGTCATAGTCTTGTCTTGTTATTCTTACTTGTGCCATATTATACAACAGTTTTTTGTGTTACATTGTCGATTTATTCTAAAATAAAACAAGCACAGCTAATAGGTACACTTGTATAAATACAGGTTACCATGTATTATTATTTGTTTGTAAGATATTATGATTGCAAATTAATACAAATATATAACAGGTGAAATTTAGCATTAACAAAGAGTATAAACCTACCTGTTTTAAGTTTTAATGATTCATGGGTAATACAAGCTATAAAAGTCAACCGTACATTATTACACAATTACACACAACTTAGGTTATTTTTTTTTATTAAAATCCAGCCTCATTATGACTATATCTAGTGTTAGGTATTGCCATCAAGTCATTTACTATAGCTTATATAGATATTTGGTACCATCGTCAATTTTGAAATCACTTACCAGTAGTACTATACTAGTTGTGTTCATAAATGTTTGTCCCACATTTGATAACAAGTATACATCATAATGTCTTCTGCTGCTTCATTTTAAAATGAATGTAGTGAAATCCATCTCTCACTATACTCTGCCTTTCCTGGAATAATTAATAAACAATCCTTCTATGTGTGACTAGAATAATCAGCATAAATAGAAATGAACAATGGATTCTATGACATAACCACAGCTCATTTCAAGTAAGGTTAACACTCTAATACAATAATATGACCTATGCTGTAGCCTAATATCCTCCTTAATCCCCAACCCAGATAATCTATATTGTTGAGCATGTAGTAGCATTGACTAGGTCTATTATACAGATCATCCACATTACATACATAGCAGTATATTAGAATGTGATTATTAATTTCAGCACATATTATGCATACAATTACAAGTGTTTGACAGAAGACTTATATTTCAAAATGAGTTATGTTATAAAAAAATTCCTTCTTAATTCTAAAGAGTAAGGTTATGGTTGACAAATCAAATCTATTTTCATTAAAAAAAAAAATATAATTTGTCCGTGATGCAATTCAAAAACATGTTTGAATTGATCAGCGTTCTCGCAGACCAGAGGTCGCAGTTTCATGGCCAAATCTCAAAATTCTACTTGAAAATAGTGTTGAATTGTTATAAATTTGTCAGATGTGGCGAGAAATGATTCCTTTTGGTGAATAAAGACGAATTACGCTGAAGAAAAGACAGTAAGGATTCCAAAATAGCCATTGAAGAGAGTAGGGGGTAATGCAGTATTTTCATATTGCTGCTTAATTGGGATGAATAGAAAAGGTGAGAGGACATCGCCCAATCAGACACCATGATCGTTCTTAAAGGAACTAGGTTTTGATCTAGGGTTACCATACTTCCCGGTTTTGGGGGTCCTTTTTGCCATCCCATCCCGTTGCCTCTCACATGATTGCTTGATAACGGTGAAAGTGCCCTCATTGAAATATTGCAGTTAATAGACCTAGTGAATGTTATCCATAAAGCTGTCTGTCATTAGGTTTGCAAGTATTAATGACGAGATTGACATTTCTTTTGCATTTGAAACTTTTAATTTATGTAGTGGTCTGGGGGTCACAGTGGCTAAGTGGGTAAGATGTTGGATCGCTAGCCTGGAAATCAGGTGTTCGATCCCTGCATTGGTCGAGAAAGTATCCAGATTTCCGGCATGGTTCCCCCTTGTCAGTGATTCAGGACTGAGGGCCTGACAAAGGACAGCTGACTAGTCATTTGGATAGAACAAAAAACAAGGTACCGCGTAGGCCCACACATTGGCGTGCACATAAAAGATCCCTTGGCACTACAATTGAAATTCAATATAAGAGTTATAAGCAGTAGTGCCGGTGTCCGGGCACACTGTATGGCATGGCATTTGCCCGTCTTCATAAGCCCAGTTCAGAGTAGAACAGTAGGACGTTAAACCCCATTTCATTTCATTTCTGTAATTTATGTAGGCTTAGATATAGATATAGATACTCATATAGATATATTATTATTTATTAATATTATAGTATTTTACGAAACAGTCAACAAACACACTGAACAATCAATCATTTCCATTTTAAAAGCCATAATTGTGTGTTTCGAAGCAAGATATTAATATCATTTATCCAACAGGGTCTTCTGTCTCATGAGGCCATTTACAAATAAGTGTGTATACTATTCAAAATGTGAAATGGCTGGCTATTTGAAGAAAACATTAATTGACAATGCAAAATTCCATCAAGCCTACCCGCCATATTGTTTACAGCTGGCAACCAAAAAGCGACACCTAGCGGTCAGTGCGTGATATTCTTCTTGTTTATCCAGTGACATTAATGAACGCGGAATGCAAGAATTGGATGGGCCTGATAAATTTACTAGTTATTTTATAAAATTTCATGCAAGAAGCTACAACCGTCATTAACGAAAACATGTTGTTCATGGGTAAATAAAAGGCCTACAAGCATAGCTATCAATGATTATCTTATTACACTCGAAACTGAAATCAATTAGGTTTTTCAATTTTCCAAGCCGATAACAGAATCTATTTTGAAATAAGATTTAGATAGACGATGTACCCGACAAAATATCATGCTTATATGATTATATAAAAACAATCGTCGAACAAATTGCTAGCGATCGCCTTTATAAACAGTATTCTTCAATATGGCTAAGATCAATTAAGGGCGGATCTAGTTCAGCTCTGAACGTAGGTCTCATTACACTCGACTGTAACGAAACCTACGTTCAGAGCTGAACTAGGGCGGATCCAGAGACCATGGATGGGGGAAAGCATGTTCGCCCCGGGAAATGTCGAATCTTGGAATGGCTTGAAGCCCAGAAATGCCATTTCCAGTGATCTGAGAGACAAGAATCCGGCTTTACAGTGCGCCCCCACCCCTCCCCCTGAATTGATCCAGATTGGAGGAAGAGGGGACGGGGTGTGCAACGGGTGGCCCCAGTAGATCCGCTCTTAAAGATCACGCCAGATATATATATTTGTTGAAAAAAATAGAACAATGTGTGCCATTTCCGACTATTTCGGGCCCCGGACACAATTAAACCTAAGCACGGGAAGTCCGGACCCCATGGGCCCACCCCTCTCGCCCCGCGCTTGCATAGGTCAGCTCGTGTCGAACAAAACACGAACTGATATACGTAAACATTTTATGACAGCTGAGTCCAAGGGTGGGATTGTTTTCTACCGTCGGGTTCCTCCTAGATTTTGGCCTTCGACCCCTCAATTTTTCAAAAGAGAAAAAAACACCGCTACTGTCATGACTGATTCTCTTCACCCGTCTGTACTTTCTATGGGCATCTAATGCGAGATTTCAAAATAGGTCCTACATGTAACCAGTTCATCAACGAAACAGCCGTCTCCATAAATATCCATCGGGTGAATAAAACATATTGGGTAATTTTCAAACCAATTTTTTAAACTTAAAACAATTTACACCATGGTTCTAGACGGTCAACTATTCGATTAGCGAAAACTAGGTTTAATAACAACGGAGAGTCATGCTGACCGTTAAAACGCCCATAGGGCTCATGACGTTTTATAACGGTCGTTCGCGGCACGTGTTTCCTGCTGTGACGCATCTTTCCATAAAAATGTGCTATTCACTGGTCAAGTCAAGTGAGAAAATAGCATGTTCTTAACTTGACCTTTTGCAGGTAAACTTGGCTAATAGGAATTGTGAACCCGTACTCTCTCGAAACGCACTTCCTTACTTACCATACCTTGTTAACTCAGCCCGTCTGTCGACCGTCAAATTCATCATCCGAATTTCTAAAAATACATTTTATTTCCAGACGACCTTGAGACAGTATTTCAAGGACATAGAAAATGAAACCCTTTCAACCAATACGGCACTTGTCTGCAATATCATTCATAGTGGAAGCGGAGTTTACTGCCCAATTAATCAACCAGCCCTAACGGGAAAGAGATTATAAAATTGATCATATTCCTATATTGTTAGCACCATGCTTCTTAATCACTGTGCACATTTTTTTATAAATAAATCTAGTAGTCTTGTGTCGGTGTCGTATTTTGGCCCAGTTCAATGTTGGCCTACAAGGTGATGATGAAACCTTAGAACGAACATGCGAATTGATATTTATTTATTTAATTATTTATTATTTTTTGAAGACATATTTTATTCACTATAAATGAATGGGAAATTGGGGAACAAGCAACATGCCTGTCAGACCCCTATCACTATTTACAATAGAAATTAAATTGTATAATAATAATGTAAAGCAGTATATAGCAGTATATACAATAATATATACAACCCGTACTTAGCTGAATACACCTAAAGTATTATAGTATGCAATAATAATGATAATATTAATAATAATTTAAAATCGTTTAGTTAAATTGAAATATGATTGAACTGTTATAAAGAGAACGTTATTAATGTCGTTCTTGGAATATAGAGTTTTGCTGTTCTTATACTCATCCATCCTCGGTATCCTCAGTAGTTTCATTCCGTTCTACTCCACTAATCTATGGCGGAAACACGTTTTAAAGTTATCCGCCCTTGATGGTTGTGCTATTTTTATCGACCAATCCCATAAATCGTTAATTACAAAGGTAGTTGGCAAAGGGAAGTAACCCTCAACGGCTAGGAGTTAGCCTAACTGAGAGAAGTCCAAATTATTCTAATGCGTATTTATTAACAACAAATTATATAATATTATACCAATGAAGACACTGCGTTTATGTAGGTTCAAGAGTTTTATTGAGAATCCTTCGTTCGTTCGCGGAATTTTACGCCCTCCCGATATCGTAGACAAGTTTTTGTGAATCGAATTGCCAAGTATATATTCAATAATAATAAACATAACAGAATAAAACATTTCAGACAAAGAACGAATAGTAATAATAATAACAAAAGTCCAACATATAGATGTTATACATATTTGACATCAGCGAAACATACTACAGATTTTGTTAATACAATCAAATAAAAATGAATTAGAAATATATACATTACTTACACAAATCATTCAGTAAATGGACATGAATATGGTTATCTACCCTTATAAAAACGAAGGCGAAACGACAGGTTTGTAAACTGTTTTTTGATTGTTTCGTAGACTATAGCTACAATCAAGGCCAGAGCAGGTAATTTGAAATCGTGGAAACCCTATGGATTAACCCAGGGTATAGTGGAGTAGAACGGAACGAGTACATTGGGGATACCGAGGATGATATACTCATCGGGTAATGTAGAAATGGTTTCCGTTGAAAAGTATTGAAGTTTGGACAGTGTAAAAGATAGTGTTCGATATCCTCGAAAGGGTGACCACAATACAAGCTGGATTTTCAGAGATGTGTCTAAAAAACATGTGACCATTTAAGTCACTGCATGAAAGTCGTAGTTTGCTGTGGATAATTTCAATTTTTCTAGAATCAATGTAGAAAAGTTTTTGGGGTTTAGAGTCTTGTTCGGAGAGGGTTTAGCCCAGTCACTAAGTGTCGAGCTCAGTATTAAGGGTATTGGCGCTTGCAATCGGGTCATCGATTTTGAGGAAGAGCGGGGTATCATCGGCAAATAATCTGACATAATATTTCATATTCTCAACAATATCGTTGATGTAAATG